TCTTTTTCAGGGCTTTTCCTTGGTCTGAGGTGAGAAGGTAGAGGAACTAACTTACTGGCTTGCCCTTCCTAAGTCTAGGGCACAAGGAGAAAGTAGGGGGAGGGGGACCTCTTTTTACTGTCCAGTGACAACCTCAGGGACCTTGAGGCCCTCAACATAGGTATGATAGAAACAAGGACCTTGGGCCTTCTGTGGCCTCCGAACTATAGAAGTACAGACTCCCCATGTTCTGGGGGTCCAACCAGGGAGCTGCTCTGGCTGTTGTCAATTCTCCAGGGCCTCAGTTTGAGTCGTCCATCTTTTGGTTCTGGTGTTTGCCTCCTGCTTCTGTGGAAGACTAGGAGAAAAGCCTTCTAAGTTCCAAACTATTTGACTTGCTGACAAGTGCAGGTAGAAATATAGGCAGTGCCATCTTAGCTTTCCCCTAGAGCAGCCCCTCTGAAAAGTTTCTTTTAACTTACAGAGGTTTCCATCCAGGTCACTTAAAGGATAGGAAGACAAGAATAAGGATTGCTGGTTCTGCTGCGACTTAATTTGGCTGGGCCTGGGGCCCAGTGACTCAGGGGGAGGGTGGGGAGTTTCGAGGGAGCTGTGAGTCATAGGGGTGAGCTCCATCACAAGAGTTGGGCATATTTCCCCCACTCTGGGCAGAAGCCTTCCATCCCACTTCCCATGAGTGTTCTGCCTCCTTGAACCGGGGCCTATGAATAGAAATTGCTGGCAGAAGGGATGAAGCAGACTAATCTCAGAATGGGAAAATTCAGAGACACAAAGAATGATGTTCAGGTCTCTGAATTAAAATGTACCCCTATCTCGAGAGCCCTTGGGGTCCCTCTAATAAAGGCAAAAGAATATCAATATAGAGTAAGAGAAAAAAGAATACCATTTCTCAGCCCTAGCTGGGTTGGCTCAGTGGATAGAACCTCGGCCTGTGGACCAAAGGTCCCGGATTCCATTCAGGTCAAGGGCACGTGCTTAGTTGCAGGTTCCTCCACCAGCCAGGGCCTGGGCCCTAGTCCGGCTCTGGTCCAGGCCCGTGCGGAAGACAATCAATCGATGTGTTTCTCTCCCATCTATATTTCTTTCTGTCTTTCTCTCTTTCACTCCCTCTAAAAACCAATGGAAAAAGAAAAAAAGAATAACATTTCCAATGAAAAGAGATATATCCCACTTCAGGACTTTTTTCATCTGCTCTGGCATGAAGGAATCTTCCTAGGCTCCCACAATTCTCTGGTCTCTGGAGCTCTGGTTTGCAAAACATAGAACGATGAATGGGGAGTGGGGTTATGTGGGGTCTGGTGTGGGAAGAGCAGGTGGATGTTGGAGGTTGTCCAGCTGTGTCTAGGAAAGCTCTAGGACGTCTTCTTTATTTACCAGCCTCCGTAGAGGAAGGGGTGGGGATAGGAGAAGTAAGAGGCCTTCGCCTTTGAAAGGGTTACGTGGCTGGGCCCAGAGACGCTTTGAACTTTGGCAGATGAGGAGTTAAGGAGGTGGGCGGGGCGACGCTGTCTAGGCCTGCCCCCATATGGACCAATGGGTGCGCACCTCTTGGAGGGGGCGTGCCTCACTCGTGAGGTCGTGGGAGGCTGGCCTCCCGTGGGCCAATGAGCACGGTCGCTGCCTTGGGGGCGTGGCCTGAGGGGGCGTGGCGGCCGCGGCCGCCCGGGGGTGAGGGGGTGGGGACGCGGGGCGGGGCGGGCGGCCCCATCAGCTGGTAGGAAATGGCCTGTGAGTCAGAGGGGCAGCAGAGTCGGCTGCGCGGAGCCGGGGCGGCCACGGGGAGGAACAGTCGCGGGGAGGGGCGCAGCCGTGGCTGGGAGGCTGCAGACGCCAGGGCCCGCTAGTGGTGCACCCGAAGCCAAACAGAGAAGAGCCTAGCAGAGCAAGACTCAGCCCGAGCCACCCTTTGTTTGGGTTGGGGGCCCGTGTCGGGGAGGACTGGGGATTCGAAGGGAGGGACGGGGACGGAGGGGCCCGGAGCTGCGACCGCCGTAGCAGAGCCAATTTGGGAGCGGGGTGAGTGTGTCCTACGGGGAAAGAGCACATCTACGGAGCTTCAGGGTGGGATGGGGCCTGTCCCAGGCTGTGGGGAGTCGAGGGGCGAGAAAGGACCTGGGAGGCAAGAGTGGGGATGGGGGATGGTCCCAAACAAGGAGTCCAGGAATCCCGGGTGAGCATGCCAGGTTCAGTTTGGAGTTGGTGCTGAGATCGGCTCCCTCTCCACTGACGGTGGAGGGCTCTAGGCCAGCAGCCAAGAGGGGGTGGTGAGAGAACGGTGGTTGACCTTCCTACCTACCGTGGTGATCTATGGAAACAAGCCCCCTAGGTTGCACATGTGAAGGGGCAACATTTAAAGCAGCTAGCAGCAGTTCTCTCTGAACAGGATGAGGGTGATAAGCACATGGAGAGGAATTTCTCTTCCTGCCACCTTCCTTGATCAGAGAATAGAAACGGATATCTTTAATACTGAAGGGAAGGGGAGAGTGTTAGCCTACTAACACCCCCACCTCCCAGGCTAAGCAGGTGTCTGAGGGTACAGACCCCATGGTATTCTGGTACTTGTTGTTTTTGCTGGCCATGCTCCCTTGGCATGTTGGGAGCTGTAGTCTTGGCCATCCAAAGTCTGGCACAGCTGTTTGAAGCCAGCTGCTGCCCACCCCCTGCACTGAGAGGAGGTTTGGCCTGCCCTTCCCCCAAAGTCCTGCCCCATGAGTCAGCTTGAAGCCATGGTCGAGAGCCAGACTGGCTGGGTGGCAGGGAAATGAGTCTTAAAGCTTCTCATTGACAGGACTGGAACTGAGGGCTCTGGGATAATGAGCAGGTGCCACACATGCTGGGGTCAAGTAAGGAGGGCATCATGTCTTCACCTGGCTTCCCCAGGGCACGGGCTCAAGAAGCCAACTGGGATGACTTGGAGGTGGAAGTACAAAGGAAAAGGCCCTTCCTGAATCCATAGGGCCTGGGTGGAGGAAAGGAGGGGTGTAGAGGGAGTACAGATTGTACTCTGACAACACTGCCATTGGCATTCCGTCCTTTCCCGCCACCCCACCCACCACAGGAAACCAGAATTTTCTTAAGGGATCCCAGTTCTAATGAGAACCTGGCGAACTAGGATAGTGTGGGATGCAATGAGGAGAATTTAGTGTCAGAGAGCTTCTCAGTCCCTGGGCGCAAATCTCCCCTTTTTACCCTGCCCCCACTCCCACCTCTGTTGCTGATGCTCATTCTCCCTATACTCTCTGCTTCTCTCATTCCGGAAGTTTTCCTCTGCATTGTCGGGACTGCTGCCCGAATCTCTGGGGCTTGCATTCCACATTTTTGAGGCCCTGCTGTGTGCCTACCCCTGTGCTTGGAATTGGGCAGAATAGTGGGGTGTAGACCTGGCCTCAAGAACCCTGTGGTCAGTCTAGGAGATGTCGTACCCACAGAGTGAACACAGCTGTCCCAGGAGACAGTGATGTACTGCCATCGGTGAGGTCTCAGAGGAAAATGGTATCTGTGGCCTGAAGTGGCCACAATGGGCTCTCTGGAGGGGGTGCCATTTGACCTAGCCAAGGAGAAAGGTTAGGTCTTGGGGTAGACAAACAGAAGGCATTTCTTGAAGTGGAAAGGGCATTGTGGATGTCAGACAGCAAAGGCGACTGCCCAAAGAGAATTTCCTTCCATGAAGGGAAAATGGTCTTCAATTTGGCATTCCTCTCCCCGAGTATGGGCTCCTGAGGGTGGATTAGTTCCTGAAGACCATCTTGTTTTCTGGCAGAAAGCAGTGGTTTGGGTTTTGGGGATTGGAAATGTGTTGGAGAGGAGCAGAAAGGTGCCCCTGGTTGCTTCTAGCTGTCTGACTGCAGCTGCCTTATCTCTAGTTTGCAGGGCCTGGGGGGAGGAGGAGTGCCTTCCGTCAGTGCCCCCCTCCTCCCCTGCCCCCCCTCTCCACATACTTGTTTATGGTTAGATTTGTTGCCTCCTGTTAAAGGGACAAAGTGCTGGGGGTAGTTGGTAGTTTTAAGGCTGAAGGGTCAGTCCACTTTGAGCTGACCTGAGGTTTGTACTACTGAGGAATGCTGATGGGGGTGGGGGTGGGGTGAGTTTCTGCCAGATCTCTGCCCTTAGGGCTGCGGGGTAGCACTTGTCTCTTTAGAGACAGACGTGGGGAGGAGTTGTGCAACTTGGTGGTGTGGACTAGAAGGGCTGAATTCTTGTACGGCCACCTCTCCTCGGGTGTGGTCTCTTGAATCTTGGGGTATCTCACCCCCCTTCCCATTCAGGGCACGAGTGTTGACCCTAACAAGTGGTAATCCTGCCTCAACTTATCAGATGCTCATGTCATTGAGCCAAAACCTGCCTCTATGTAACTCCTTAGGGAGCCCAGCTCTACTCTCGGGGGCCTGGGTCCAAGGCTGCCCCTTCTGTTTCTGAAGAGCTTCCCGTAGGGCAGAGGACGACCCTCGGGGTCCTCCATCAGCCCACCCTTGGAGAGAGGTCTTCCCACGGACGACAGAGGTCCCGGTTTACATCTGTTCTTCTCTCCTCAGGGTCCAGCTGAGCCCGGGAGCTGCACGGAATGGTGGCAGTCACCTCGCCGGTGCAGCGGGCATGGACCAGACTGCAAGCTAGGAGAGCGGGACATCAGTCAGAAAGAGGGAACACTCAGCTAGGCTTAAGGCCTCTTCATCGGGGTGAGTGCCAGAAAGAGGGAGGTGGAGCAGGTCCAGGAGGAAACCTGAGCTAAACATGTCACCCTCCCAGAAGCTCTGGGGCGGCCTCTATGTTCCATTAATCCATCCAGGGATCTGAACCCCTCCATCCCTGCTGACCTTCAAGGTCACCTCTTCAGGCCAGGGAAGGACCTGAAACTCAGCTGGGAGGGAGAAAACTCACCGATTCCTCTGACCACCTTTTTTTTTTTCTTTCTTCTTTTATGCAGATGTCCCCAGACCCCCCAGCCCAGGCCCAGCATAAAGGCTGTGAGGGGGGGCCCCCCTGACACAAGGGGGGACTCCATGCGCCACGTGCAGGCGGAGCCATCTCCATCCTCAGAGCCAGAGGCTGGCCCTTCGCAGCCTGCAGTCAGGCAGGGGGCCCTCCAGGGTGGCCTGCTCATGGGCTACAGCCCAGCAGGAGGGGCGACATCCCCCAGGGTCTACCAGGTATCCATCTTTTCCTCTCCAGCTGGCGCCTCTGAGCCTCACAGGGCCCTGAAACGGTCATCCCCGCTCACTGAGGGTCCCCGGGAGCTGAAGAGAGGCCCTGGGCTGGGGGTCAGAGAGGGACAACCCCCTGAAGAACCATCTGCTGTGGGGCTGTGGGGCCCAGAGGGGCTGGGGCTGGGGCTGGGCGTGACCAGCCAGCATTTCTGCCATCATGGCCTGTGCGTTGTAGAACAGGGAGGTAGTAGCTCCACCTCACCTTGGACTTCAGGGGCCCAGAGTCTCCCCTGGCCCCCATCAAATGCTTCCTGCAATACTTTGCACACCAGAGACTGGGCTTCCCCAGATCCAGGGGGACAGGGGTCCCTGGGGGCGTCCCCAGGGCGAGCCCCTCCAGGCCAGCTGCACACACTTGACACTGATTTGCACAGTCTTGCACAAATAGGGTGTAAGAGCCCAGTGGCTGGGGTGGGCAATGGGGGCAGCCCCTGGCCTAGGGAATGCCCTGGCACTGCCAATGGGCACAGTCCCGAGCACACACCCCCTGGCCCTGGACCTCCAGGCCCCTGCCCCACCAAGCGAAGGCTGCTTCCTGCTGGAGAAGCTCTGGATGTCAGCTTTGAGGATGAGGGGCCAGCCCCTCAGAAGCGCCGGGGAACCCTGGGTCACCCTCCTGCTGCCAACAGTTCTGATGCCAAAGTCACACCCTTCTGGAGCCACCTGCTGCCTGGGCCCAAGGAGCCTGTGCTGGTAAGCCAGGAGAGGAGGGGGTGGTCCACTATTTTTTAAAATTTATTCTAAATTGCCGAACTGGTTTGGCTCAGTGGATAGAGCGTCGATCTGTGGACTGAAAGGTCCCAGGTTCGATTCCAGTCAAGGGCATGTATCTGGGTTGCGGGCACATCCCCGGTAGGGGGTGTGCAGGAGGCGGCTGGTCGATGTTTCTCTCTCATCGACGTTTCTAGCTCTCTATCCCTCTTCCTTCCTCTCTGTGAAAAATCAATAGAATATATTTTTTTAAAATTTATTCTAAATTATAAGTGACGCAGTATTATATTAGCTTCAGGTATACAACATAGTGATGCAACTTTTATATACCTTACAAAGTTGCCCTAACCGGTGTGGCTCAGTGGATAGAGTCCCAGGTTCAATTCCGGTCAAGGGCATGTACCTTGGTTGCGGGCACATCCCCATAGGGGGTGTGCAGGAGGCAGATGATTGATGTTTCTCTCTCATTGATGTTTCTAACTCTCTGTCCCTCTCTCTTCCTCTCTGTAAAAAATCAATTATATATATATATATATATTTTTTTTTAATCAATAAAATATATTTTAAACAAAAACAGAGTGATCACCACAATAAGTCTAGCAACAATCTGTCACTGTGCATGGTTATTACATTATGACTCTATTCCCTATGCTGAACGTTATGTCCCTGCGACTTATTTTATAACTGGACTTTTGTACTTCTAAGGTCCCTTCCCCTTTTCTGTCTAAGCCCTTATCCTCCTCCCCTTTAGAAGAAGGTGGGGGCCTGGGGGCATGTTCCCCTGAGAGCTTGTGATGAGCCCCTGCTCCTCCAAACATATCTGGCCTCCACCCAGTCTTTTCCCCCAATCTTTGTTCTCCACAGGATCCAGCAGACTGCAGTCCTGTGGGACGGAGGCTGAAAGGTGCCCGTCGCCTGAGGCTGTAAGTGACCAGCTCCCCTCTCTGTCCTGTCCCTGGAAAATGGGGACAGCAGTCTGCAACCCTCTTCTCACTCTAGGATAGGGGACCCTGGGGCAAAAGCCCTGGGTAATGGTAAAGAGCGGGGCCTAAGAACATGAGCAGACATCCCAGAATACCTCAAGCCAACCCACTGTGTATCCCCTGCCCTACCAGGAGTTCCCTTCGAAGCCTCCAGAAGGGCCCAGACCTGCTGAGCCCCCCCAGTGCCTCCCCTGTTCCTACCCCCGCAATCAGCCGTACCCTGTTGGGCAACTTTGAGGTAGTTACCCCTGGATTCCATGATTGGGGGTTGGGGGAGGGTCTCGGGGGACGTGGGGTGGTGGAATGTGTCTTGGATGGATAAGGAAAACAGCTGGCGTCTCTTTCATCGCGTGCTTTCCCGCCCTAGGAATCATTGATTCGAGGACGCTTTGCACCATCTGGCCACATTGAGGGCTTCACCGCAGAGATCGGAGCCAGTGGATCCTACTGCCCCCAGCATGTCACGCTGCCTGTCACTGTCACCTTCTTCGATGTTTCCGAGCAAAATGCCCCGGCTCCCTTCCTGGTAGGTCCCGATTTCAACCGATAAACGGCTCTTAAAGGATGAGGGATTGGGGCCATGAGGTATTCTTTAGGTGTTCCTCACCTAGAAAAGAGTCAGGGCAGGAGGGACAACTCAAGTGGGGGGACATGGCCAGGTCCCAGAGCGAGACTGTGGAGATGAACGGGTATTCAGGGCTCTCCCAGTGCCCGACTGGGCTCATGGCTCTGTGGCCTTCCCAGGGCGTCGTGGACCTGAACCCGCTGGGGAGGAAGGGTTACAGCGTGCCCAAAGTGGGCACCATCCAAGTGGTGAGTTTTCCCTGAGGGGGAGTGTGCGTGTGGGAATGGGGAGAGGAAAACAGCCCCATTGGCCCTACCAACCTTGCTTGTCCTGCCCCCAGACCTTATTTAACCCCAACCAGACTGTGGTGAAGATGTTCCTTGTGACCTTTGACTTCTCGGACATGCCTGCTGCCCACATGACCTTCTTGCGCCATCGCCTCTTTTTGGTGCCTGTGGGTGAGGAGGGACATGCGAGCCCCACCCACCGTCTCCTCTGCTACTTGCTGCACCTCAGGTGAGGATAGGGCCCAGGGACAGCTGGGGAGACCCAGGCATCCTTTCACCAACACATGGATCCCTTCCATGAATAGGATCTCTCCTTGCTTCTCAACGGTCTGGGTCCTCATTGTGATCACCCTCTTCTCCCCCAGGTTTCGGAGCTCCCGCTCGGGCCGCTTAAGCCTGCATGGAGACATCCGCCTGCTTTTCTCCCGCCGGAGCCTGGAACTGGACACAGGGCTCCCCTATGAGCTGCAGGCTGTGACTGAGGCCCCTCACAATCCACGTTATTCACCTTTGCCCTGATTGCCAGTGCCCTGAACCACGTGGGCCAAGGACCAGCCCATCCTGCTCCATCCTGGACAAAGCAAGCATGTGGAGAGGTGGCAAGAGACCCTTTAGGCTTGAATTAAAGCCCTCACCATGCTTATGCCCAAATTGGTCATTTGGGTATTGAAAGCTTCTGATCCTTACCACAATCTGCCCTCCTCTGGGTTCTCCACGTGCCTGCCCCCTCCCTTGGAATTCCCAGACCAGCTAGGGAGTGAGAGGAGGAACTGGAGGTACCCTGAGGTTGTCCCAAGTTCCCAGGCAAATCATGCCAACATTGCCTCCCTGCCCTCGGCAGGGGCCACTTATTATTTTATTTATTTTTAACTAATAATTTATTCGGATTGGATTGCCTTGGTAACCTCCCAAACCTGATATTTGGCATTGCTCCACCTTCTTTCCCACTCAGATATTGCTCCAGTTTCAGGAATTGAAGAGGCTGCTGTTGGGGCTGAAGGAGAACTGCTCTCCCTCAGCTGAGGGCAGAGAGGTTATCCCAGAAGGACTGAGTCAGTAGCCAAACACTCATCTTCTTCTGTCCTTCCCTATAGTTTTCACTTCCTCTGTCCTCTGACTCCTCTCTGAAAGCAACTTATGTGTGTATGCATGTGTGTGTGTGTGTGTGTGTGTGTGTGTGTGTGTGTGTATACAAGCTTGTGTGTATGGTATGTGTGTGAGAAAGAGAACATGCATGCATGTGCACACACCTGGGGTTAACTACCCCTCATCTAGGGCTCCAGACTCCAGTTGTCCCTCTCCTGCTTGTGTCTCCTTGCTTTGGGGTCCTGACTGAGGAAGGTGTTCAGGGGGCAGAGTCAGGGCCAAGGACCAGGATGCCTCCTCTCATCTGGCCAGACTCTGACCCACCTACCTCAGCTGGGGTGAAGGGCACCCTTCAAACTCAATCATGTGGTTCCCAACTACCCCGTATCCCACTCCAGACTCTGACAGCCTTAGCCCTGGCTCCTGGGGCTGGGCTGAGGGGAACAAGCATTTGTTGAAACTTGAAAAACAAAACACCGGAAAAATTGTACCTGGTACTTTTTTTTTTTTTTTTTTTTAGAGAAAAAAGACAGAAAATAAATTCTTGTTTGGAAACTTGAGCTAAGTTGTACATTTTCTGTTGAGAGCATGGGAATGGGGACGGAGGGCCAAATTGAAGTTGGGATCCTGCCCTTTCTTCAGAAAGGGGACCTGAGGCCATGAGGTGTTAGGTGGAAGCCCTGCAGAGCCTCAGGGGCTGGTCTTGCTTTTTTCAGTGAGTGGGGTTAGGAGGTGGGGAAGATTTAGTCATAAAAGTTGAATTCTCTGTGTACATGAATTTTTGTACTACTTCTGTTAATGATTTTAGCCTCTCTGAGCTTTAGTGCGCCGATATATAAAAATGAGGGTCAAAATGCAAGTCTCTTAAAAGATGTGCCAGAGCATCAGGGATGTGTGCAGGGTGACCTGTTCCAGACTAGGCTGAACTTTGGGGCTCTGTGCCGGACTCTATGTAAAGAATATCAGACCTGATAGACCCTGACTGGGAAGGGGTAGAAAAAAGCTATGGCGTCTTGGGAAAAGAGGGAAGGGGGAAACCTCAGACCCACTGCCGGACAACGTTAGGACCAGTCACCATGGCAACAGGAATGGGGTCAGTGGGAGGGCTGGGTATATCACAGCAGGACTGCCCGAGAATGTCACTATGGCAACCGGCAACCGTGGCTACGGGTCAGCTCCAATACCCTGGTCGCTAGGATGACTGATGGGCGCGGCTATAAGCTCAGAAGGGTAAACTTGTCTCGCCCTTGCGGGTGTAAGAACTCGGTGGGAGGTGTTTCTGGGCCACCAGCCCACGGGAAATAGCCTTCATTCTGATAACGCGTCCGGGATGGACCAGCGAGAACCATGACAAGCTCCACTCTCGGGCCCTCTCGCTAGGTCTGCGTTTCCCAGGAAACACCTGGAAGCACGCTCCAGCCAAGTGAACGCTGATTGGCTGAGTATGAAATGCGTGAAGGGAGCGAGGCGACGACCGGAAGTACATCCGGGGAGGAGTGGAGCTACCGGAGGGGAAAAAGGCTTTGGCCCGCCTTCTGGTCTAGAGCGGCCGCTCTGCTCCGCGTCTCGTTGGTTCCGGAGGACTCCACGGCCGTGGGAAATGCTGGCGCGCGCGGCGCGGGGCACTGGGGCCCTTTTGCTGAGGGTACGAGGCAGCCTCCTCCAAGGGTTGGGCTAGAGATTGACCCGGGTCCTTGTCCAGGAAGGAGAGGGATCCAAAGTTTGGTTAGAGGGCTGGGGTCAGAGGTCACAAGTCCCCACGTGAGCCCTGCTCCGGCGGTGCTGAAAGATGCCTCCCGAACCTGCAGCGCCCAGCCGGCTGGGATCTCCGCTAACCCTCCTGGTCTTCCCTTCAGGGTTCCTTGCAGGCTTCTGGCCGCGCTCCGCGCCGTGCCTCCTCAGGATTGCCCCGGAACACCGTGGTACTCTTTGTGCCGCAGCAGGAGGCCTGGGTGGTGGAGCGAATGGGCCGATTTCACCGCATCCTGGAGCCTGTGAGAACCTCTTCTGCTCATCCTGGGCCAGCCCGGTTCCCAATTCCCTCACGTCATGGCGGGGGTGGTGAGGAGAGTACCTCCTTGGGGCCTGCCCTCACCTTTGGCTAGGCCAGACCCGGCAGAACCCAGGCTGCTGACCGTCCTAACTATGTTCCCACCTCTTCCTGTTGCCCTAGCATCCTCCATTCGCGGGGAATCTCTCCTACCCACTCTCAGCTCACCTGTCTGCAAGGAGAAAGATACACTGCTGGCTCCCAATCCCTTGAGTCTCCCACCCATTCAGAGGACAGACTTCACATTCCTATTGTCTTGGGCTTTCCCTACCATTGACACCCCCAGCCTTCTGCTTTTCTGGGCATGTCCATATGTTGATTCCCTACCCATTTCCAGGCCTAGCTTGGATACCAACCCTACATCCTTCTGAAGACCCATGACTCTTCTTCCCAGGGCCTGAACATTCTCATCCCTGTGTTAGACCGGATCCGATACGTGCAGAGCCTCAAGGAAATTGTCATCAACGTGCCTGAGCAGTCGGCTGTGACTCTCGGTGAGGGGTGCAGGGTGACTTGGGTGCTCTGGGGCCGGTAGGATGTGGTTGCTGGAGACCCAGAGCTTAGGAGAAAGAGCTGACTGGGACCTAGATCTGACCTTCCACCTTTTCTCTCCCGGGCCTGCATTGCAGACAATGTAACTCTGCAAATCGATGGAGTCCTTTACCTGCGCATCATGGATCCTTACAAGGTATCTGTCTTCTGCTTTATTCAGCTTCTGATTTGCTCTCCTCACTAAAACCCTGCACCCAAGCTTCTTACGCTACCCACATTCCTTTCAGGCAAGCTACGGTGTGGAGGATCCTGAATATGCTGTCACCCAGCTCGCTCAGACAACCATGAGATCAGAGCTTGGCAAACTCTCTCTGGACAAAGTCTTCCGGGTAAGGGGATCTGAGCCAGAGTTAGGGGTTGAAGATAGAGGCTTGGGGCACTCTTCAGTCCTTTCTGGGGATCAAGGTCAATCCTAGATCCTTCTCAGCTTAGACCCCTGCTGAGTGGGTTGAGGCTCATACCTCTTTTTACACCTCGCTTCCTCCAGGAGCGGGAGTCCCTGAACGCGAACATTGTGGATGCCATCAACCAGGCGGCCGACTGCTGGGGCATCCGCTGCCTCCGTTACGAGATCAAGGATATCCACGTGCCGCCCCGGGTGAAAGAGTCCATGCAGATGCAGGTGGGCCCAGGAAGGACTTCCCATGCTCTACGTGTGTGGGAGCCTGGATTCTCTTCCCTCTTGCGAGGGGTCCAGATGCAGGTCTGGATGAGAGCTTTACTCTGATTGGCGTTGCTGGGGGATTCCAGGTGGAGGCAGAGCGGCGGAAACGAGCCACAGTTTTAGAGTCTGAGGGGACCCGAGAGTCAGCCATCAACGTGGCAGAAGGAAAGAAGCAGGCACAGATACTGGCCTCTGAGGCGGAGAAGGCTGAACAAATAAATCAGGCAGCAGGTCAGCCGAGGGGAGAGCCTGAGGGAAGAGCAGGGCATGGGTCTTTGAGGGTTGGTTCTGGGACAGGAGCTTGGGGGTCGGGGAGGGGCACCCTGATCTCCTGGGTCTAAGTTCTATCTCTTTTCTTCCAGGGGAAGCCAGTGCAGTCCTGGCCAAGGCCAAAGCTAAAGCTGAAGCTATTCGCATCCTGGCTGCAGCTCTGACACAACACGTGAGAGGCCCCTGGGTGGGAGTGGGAGACAGACGTTGACAGTGGAAAAGGTTCTCTTACCTGCCCTTGGGGGAAGTTCCTGCCTTTGTGGGTTTCATTGAGCCAGATTATATAACCTCTTAGGATATGCCTATCCTCTTTCCAGGAACCTGACTTTTCCTCTCCACTCCCCTGCCCACCCTACTCCCTTCTCTACGTCTGTGATCTCTGATCTTATCCCTCCTGTGGCCACAGAATGGAGATGCAGCAGCCTCACTGACTGTGGCTGAGCAGTATGTCAGCGCCTTCTCCAAACTGGCCAAGGACTCCAACACTATCCTGCTGCCCTCCAACCCCAGTGATGTCACCAGCATGGTGGCTCAGGTTAGCATGCCCCGAGGATCTGGCACAAAGCACCAAAGCCAGAGCTTGAGACCCTACCACCGCCAGCACCATTTATATACCATACGCAAGCATGTCAAACCCTACGAGTTTGACATGCCTTCGGAGTGCCCTGAGACCTAGACCTCCCTTCATTTCCTGTAGATAATGAACCTCTAAGGATGAGACACCCCCCTTCCCCCATTCCTTGAGATAGGGAAGCTCTTAAGACTTTTTTTTTTACACACACACACCCCCACAGATATTTGTATAGTATTCTGAGGGTGGCCCTGCTCTGGTAGTTTGTAAAATTCCTAGAACTTGACTCCAGAGCTTATAAGACTACTGAGAGAGGGGAAAAAGGAAAAACAAACCGACGAACCACAGCCCCACCTTCTGCCGTATGTTCTAATGGCTCTCTCTTCCTCTTCCCAGGCCATGGGTGTGTATGGGGCCCTCACCAAAGCCCCAGCCCCAGGACCCCAGGACGCAGGCTCCCGCGGGAACAGCAGAGATGCCCAGGACACAGATCCAAGTCTTGATGAGGAACTCGATCGAGTCAAGCTGAGTTAATGGAGCTGGGCTTAGCCAAAGAGGCCTGGCCAGGGAGGCAGCACTCCCTAGCTCTGGCTCTAGCCTCTTTGCTAAGAATTTGGTTATTATTTTTTTATTTGAACTTTAATCATGTAATAAACTGGCCAGTGGTAAACCAGAAACTGTCCTCTCTGATTGGGAAATGAAGTTGAGAAAGTCATGATTGTTTTCCTTGGACGTTCATTCCCATCCTCTAGTCCTTTCGGGTCTTGGAAGCCAATCCTCTGTGAGCAAGAATGAATCTGATAGAATAGAAAATCACCCTTCTGTTTTCAGCAGAAGCTGTGGGATAGGGTGGAAGGATTAAGCCACATGTTAACTGAACTGCCAGCTGGGAGTATAGTTCCTTCCTGCCAAGAGTTAGGCTGTGAATTTGAGCAGGTGTTTGGGGGGATTTTGAAAGGCAAAGAGCATTGCTCTGGCAGGGTAGTACTGCTGAATGCTTAAAGGGCTTTCAGGGAGGTGGCACTTATTCACGTATTCAAAACGTTTAATGCTAGCTACAACGGGCCAAGCTCAGTGCTAGACGTGGTTTACAAAAACCACAGACTCAGCAGCCCCTGGTTTCACAATACCAGGTCAGGGAGAAGAGACACACAAGAAAGCAGACAGAGATACAAAGTGATACAGGCTGTTGTGGAGGAAGATTCTGGCGGAGAGATCCTGGAAAGAAAAGCATGTCAGCTTGTGGGTAGCAAAGTTGCCAACTCTGCCATTGAGTTCAGGTTGGGAAGAATAATGCATTCACCAAGCTAGGGTTTGGAGCTAGAATATGCTAAGGCCCACAGCGCCAGAGAAATTGGAACATTCAGAGTAATTCGCTGTGGCTCAAAGATGGGCTGTTAGAGGGATGTGACTATATGGCAAGGTCCTAATCACAGAGTCCTGAAGAGTTTGGACTTTACCTTTAAGGTAGGGGGGAGGAGAGCCCATGAAGGGCTTTTCCTTCTTCCCATGAAGAATTTTAAGGAGATTTAGGTAACTACCTTAGTGTTTTAGCTGTTTTGCTGCATTCTGGACAGGGGATTTGAAGGAGAAATGGGAAGCTGGAAAGACTTAAGAGGGCTGCTTCAGTGATCCCTGAGAGGGTGATGAGGCCTGAACATCAGGATGGAAGTGGAGGGATAAGTTGACATATTTTCTGAATTAGGATTTATTCATTTACCCATTTGGTAACTATTGAACCCCAACTATATGCCAGACACCAAGGATCTAGTAGTGAAGAAAAAATTCTCTGGTCTCAATGAGCTTCCATTCTGTTTGGAAGGATCAAACCATTAATAAGATGTATAGTATTTCAGAGTCTGGTGAGTTGTATTAAGGAAGGGAAGGAAGATGGGGAGTTTGGGAGTGGGAGGTTTTGTAATTTTAAGTGGAGGGTTCCAGGAAGCCTCACTGATGTTATTGAATTTAGATAAGGAGATGAGAGGAATCTGCGAGTAAATTTGGGCATCTGCTAATAAAGCTGACAAAATTGCAAAGGCCCTGAGGCAGAGCATCTGTCTTATAACCGGGAGAGCAAAGGAGGTCTACTGGATGGAACAGAATTAAGGAAACAGAAGCAACTCCTAGATGAATCAGGGGGGTGGGGAGGCTGGTGTGTAGACATGTAAGACCACCACAAGAACTTGGGTTTTACTCTGGTATGAAAAACCAGACAGATTTTTGGCTTTTAACAGTTTTACTGCGATGTAATTCACATACAATACAATTCACCCACTGAAAGTGTAAATTCAGTCATTTGTAGTATATTCAGAGTTTTACAAACACCACAATTTTAAAACATTTCCATCATTGCTCCTTCATCTCCACCCTGCCACAAAAACCCTGTGCCCATTAGCAGTCACTCTCCTCTCCCCAAGCCCTCAGCGACCACTAGTCACTTTCAATCTCTCTAGATTTATATATTCATATAAATGGAATAATGTAATATGTGCTTTGTGATTGACTTATTTCAGCATAATGTTTTTAAGGTTCATCCACGTTGAGCATTCCTTTTGATGGCTCAACAATATTACATTGTATAGATATACCATATTTTGTTTGTCCATTCATTAGTGAAGGCTACATGGGTAGATTTCACCTTTGGACGATTACGGATAATGCTACTGAGAACATTAATGTGCAAGTTTTTGTTTGGGTATATGCTTTCATTTCTCTTCGGTATATATCTAGGAGTGGAATTGCTGGATCATAAGACAACCCTATGTTTAACTTTTTGAAGAATTGCTAGACTGTTTTCCATCCCAGCAGCAGTATATGAGGGTTCAAATTTCTCCACATCCACACCAATGTTTGTTATTTGCCTTTTTTATTATAACCATCCTAGTGGATTTGAAATGGGTACCTCTAATATTTCTCTGATGGCTAATGTTGAACAGCTTTTCATCTGTTTATTTGTCATTTATATATCTTTGGAAAAATATGTATTCAGATCCTTAGCTCATTTTTAGATGGTATTATTTGCTTTTTTTTTTTTAAGTTGTAAGATTCAGTGAGAGACTTGGAGAGGGAGAATAATAAAATCTTATCAGTTGGAGTCAGTTAAGGGGAATGCAGATACTCTATGACCCTATTTTTCAGATGAGGTAACACCCAATAATGACAGGGAGTGGAGGATCTAGGGTTTAAAGCCATTTAACTCAGAGACCTTGCTCTTAGTCTTAACCAAGAATGGACAAAGATTCCCTGAACTTGCCTAACTTTGTTTCTTGTCCCCAATTCTCCTAAATAATCTCACATTAAACTCAACCTCCTGCCAGCCCTGTGCTCCTTGCCGAACTTGCTCGTAGGCGCCGGCAGATGGCGATGTGGCCCCGCGGGCCGCTCTGTTCGGCGCGCGCACGTCTGTGGTATCGAGACCCAGGCGCCTCCGATGCACTTCCGGGTGCTGTTCAAGGTGAGCTAGGGTCTCCGAGACCCCCTCCTCCGCTCCCCCTCCTCGGAGAAAGGGAACTTTCCCGCCAGCTCGCAGCCTAGGTGCCCAATACTGGGGGTAGGGTGCCCAGGCGGAGGCCGGAGTAACCACCGGAGGAGGCAGAGCTGTTGGGACGACTGGATTCCCAGCGAGGCCCAGCCGGCTGCAGACCCACTGGCTCTCGCCCGCTGCACCGAGGAGGTCGCGCCCTGGTCTGGCGACCCTGGGTTTCCGGAAGCGGAGTGTGACTACTCCCCTTCGCCCCCTCGGTCCCGCCTGGCGGCGCCTTCAGCCGGCCCCGCAGGGTTTCCCTGAGGCTGCTATCCCTGACTGACCACCCCAGGGGTGCTGAGGTTGGCCAGGTGAGGTCAGAGAGCAGTCTACTAGTTGGAATAAGTTTTCCTTCGTGGACTGTTTTTTATTCTTAGGATCTCCTGGAGTACGTGTGCGAAACCCTATACCCCACTCCCAAAGATCCTGATTTAGTAGATCTGGGGGTGGGGGCCAGGAAAATAAACATTTCTTTAGTAGCCGATCCAGGTGGATGCCCATAGTCTGCAGATCTCGCCTTCAGAAACCCTGGTATCCCTGGTGGAGAGGAACAGTGCGTTAGGTTGGCTAGGGGACTGCTTTATCTTCAGGAAGTGATTCTAGCTGGGCTTTGTATTGAGGCACCAGAAAACCCAATGGTTCTTTGCCCCGCAGTGATGCCTTCTCCGCCTGGCCGCCGCCACTAGGATGCAGAAGATCTCAGTGCTGCTCTTCCTGGTCTGGGTCTGCTTCCTCTTCTACGCTGGCATCGCCCTCTTCACCAGTGGTTTCCTGCTCACCCGTTTGGAGCTCACCAACCATAGTAGCTGTCAAGAGCCCCCAGGCCCTGGGCCTCTGCCATGGAGGAGCCAAGGGGAGCCCGGGGCCTGCTGGATGGCCTCCCGGTTCTCCCGGGTTGTGTTGGTGCTGATTGATGCTCTGAGATTTGACTTTGCCCAGCCACAGCGCTCACACGTCCCTGGGGAGCCTTCTGTCTCCCTGCCCTTCCTGGGAAAGTTGGGCTTCTTGCAGAGGATCCTGGAGAGTCAACCTCACCATGCCAGGCTCTACCAATCTAAGGCTGATCCTCCCACCACCACCATGCAGCGCCTTAAGGCCCTCACCACGGGCTCACTGCCTACCTTTATTGATGCTGGCAGCAACTTTGCCAGCTACGCCATAGTGGAAGACAATCTCATTAAGCAGCTCAGCAGTGCAGGTCAGTCTAGGCCTCTTTGGAGGCTAGAAGTACTTTGACAAGTTTCTTCTTTGGAAGAACTTGGGGTGTCTAGCTGCATGCTTGACAGCGCTGGGGGGAGAAAGAGGCGAGGAGATGAGAAAGAGACTAGGTTCCTGAAGGCAGGGAGCTTTGCCCTTCTGAAGTTTCTAATGTGCATGGGGTATGGATTTACTTTTGGGGCACTCTCAGTAAAGGAGCAAGAGAGACACGAAGAGGAGAAGATGTGGATCTGGACAATGTACAAGTGTGGAGGAAAGAGTAGAGGGGCAGGCCTTGTCCATTCATTGACTTGGAAAAAGCAAGACACGCCAGGAAAAACAGAAGAGATAGCCCAAAACAGAACTAGCAGAACTTTTTGTAGGATCAAGGAGTGAGAGGTCTGGGTGGAGAGTATGGTTATCAGGAAAAGCTTTCTGGCAGAAAACTTTAGACTTTGAAGGATAAAGACTTGCTGGATGGAATTTCTTTGCCTTAAAGTACGTGGTTGGGATTCTGATAGGTTTTTAAAGGGCCTCCTCTCCTCTTTTCCCCTGCCCTGTTCAGGCTGTGACCCACTCTCGTGCCCCTGCAGGAAGGCGTGTGGTCTTCATGGGAGATGATACCTGGAAAGATCTTTTTCCTGGAGCTTTCTCCCAAGCTTTCTTCTTCTCCTCCTTCAATGTCAGAGACCTGCACACAGTGGACAATGGCATCATGGAACATCTCTACCCAACCAGTGAGCAGAGGGCCAGAGGCAGGCCTGAGTTTGGGGGCTGGGAGGGCTGCTTCAGTCCTCAAATTCTGAGCCTCCAGTGGGTGCAGTGGCCTGGGCGTGATGCTTCTGGACATGGAGCATCAGGATCTGGCTGGGTTTGGGGAGTGGGCCTTAGTCCCCTGTGCTCAGTCTTCTCCCCTTCACAGTGGACAGTGGTGAATGGGATGTGCTGATTGCTCACTTCCTGGGTGTGGATCACTGTGGTCACAAGCATGGACCTCACCACCCTGAAATGGCCAAGAAGCTTAGCCAAATGGACCAGGTGATCCAGTGAGTGTGGGATTTGGGGTTGGGAGATTGGGTTTGTTTCTGAGAACCTCAGAATATTATATATGGTCTCAAGAGAAAAAAATCCTTACATTGGAGCCTCTTTCCCAGTTGGATCTGTCTTCTCTAGGCCATTTTCTGAAGCTAGGGGTCTCACCCATCTTGAGTAGTTCAGTGTGAGGCTTTGGGCAGTAGGGTTATTACTGAAGAGGTATCTCTCTAGGCCCTAATAGGAAATTATGGCTGGGGGTGAACGGAGAAAAATCTTTATCCATCCTTACCCCCTGACACGTACCCGGCCCCCAGGGGAATTGTCGAACGTCTGGAGAATGACACACTGCTCGTGGTGATTGGGGACCATGGGATGACCAAGAGTGGGGACCACGGCGGGGACAGTGAGCTGGAGATCTCGGCTGCACTTTTCCTGTACAGTCCCACAGCTCTCTTCCTGCGGCCCCCACCACAGGTGAGGCCTGAGTTGTGCTTTGGTTCCCAGGTATTCAACCGTTGTCATGATAACAGCCTCTGTTTCAGGCCTCAAACTGATGACCTCTTGGCATCCCCCATTCTCATTTCCTACCTGCACCCTATGCCTGCCTTCCCAAACGCTGACTTCAGCTCTGCAATGAACCTGTTGACCCCCGTCCTTCTCCCCTAGGAGCCAGAGGTAGTTCCTCAAATCAGCCTTGTTCCTACGCTGGCCCTGCTGCTGGGCCTGCCCATCCCGTTCGGGAACATCGGGGAGGTGATGCCTGAGCTGTTCTCAGTGGTTGAAGACTCCCAGCCTCATTCCTCTGCTCTGGCCCAAGCTACAGCTCTCTATCTGAATGCCCAGCAGGTAGGTAACGGGTTGGGCGTCCGGGTTACAGAGCTAGGACAGACATGGGAGAGGCATAATGATCCACTCTTGTCCCTTGTTTAGTCTTAGTCTCACCTTCCGTAGACATGCCCTCCTTCCATTATCCTTCCCTTCCCCCATGCCCTGGATAGAGTTTGGGTCCCTGATTTCTAGGTACCCTCTATGGTAATACCTGTCTTTGCCTCTGTCCTAATATCTGATCGGTGCCCCTTGGCCTCTGATCTTTTCTGCTAGGTATTTCGATTTCTTCACGCCTACTCAGCTGCTGCACAGGACCTCCAGGTTAAGGAGTTTCACCGGCTGAATAACCTCTTCTCCAAGGCCTCTGCTGACTACCTACGGCTTCTGCAGAGCCCGCAGGGGGCCGAGGCAGCACCACAGACTGTGATTACTGAGCTTCAGGAGTTCCTGCGGGGAGTTCGGGCCATGTGCATTGAGTCTTGGGCTCGGTTTTCTCTGGTCCGCATGACAGGGGGTGCTGCTCTTTTGGCTGCTGCCTGCTTTCTCTGCCTGCTGATAGCCCAGTGGGCAACATCCCCCGACTTTCACCTCCCCCGTCTCCTCCTCATACCTGTGGCCTGGGGTCTGGCTGGGGTTGTAGCGTGTGCTGGCCTTCTGGCAACTACTGAGCTGAGGCTGGATCCCGTGGTTGTAGGGGCTGCGGCTGCAATGGGTTCAGTCCTGCACATTCTGTGGAAAGCCTGGGCTGGCTGGGGGTCCAAGAGGCCTCTTGCAGCCTTGCTTCCCGTTCCCAGGCCTATTCTGTTACTTCTGCTCCTTCGCTTTGCCGCTTTCTTCTCGGACAGCTTTGTGGTAGCCGAGGCCAGGGCCATCCGCTTCCTTTTGGGCTCACTTATCTTGCTCCTGGTTGCCCAGCTTCACTGGGAGGGCAAGCTGCTGCCACCTAAGCTCCTCGCAATACCCCGCATTGGCTTTCCGGCCCCGACAGGCCCCTCAGGGCACAGGGGCACGCACGCCCTGGGGCTGGGAGTTGGGCTGCTTTTGTGTATAAGGCTGGCTGGGCTTTTTCATCGCTGCCCTGAAGAGACACCTGCTTGCCACTCCTCTCCCTGGCTGAGTCCGCTGGCGTCCATGGCGGGTGGTCGAGCCAAGAACTTGTGGTACGGAGCTTGTGTGGGGGCACTGGTGGCCCTGTTGGCTGCTGTGCGCCGGTGGCTTCGCCGCTACGGTAACCTCAGGAGCCGCGAGCCGCCGGTGCTCTTTGTGCGCTGGGGGCTGCCCCTAATGGTACTGGGCACCGCTGCCTACTGGGCATTGGCGTCGGGAGCAGACGAAGCGCCCCCACGTCTCCGAGCCCTGGTTGCCGGTGCATCAGCTGTGCTGCCTCGGGCTGTTGCAGGGTTGGCTGCTTCAGGGCTCCTGCTGTTGCTCTGGAGGCCTGTGACGGTGCTGGCAAAGGCTACGACGGGTGCTCCCAGGATCAGGACTGTCCTCACTCCCTTCTCAGGCCCCCCCACTTCTCAGGCCGACCTGGATTATGTGGTTCCTCAAATCTACCGACACATGCAGGAGGAGATCCGGGGCCGGCTGGAGAGGACCAAATCTCAGGGCCCCCTGACTGTGGCTGCCTACCAGTTGGGGAGTGTCTACTCGGCCGCTATGGTCACGGCCCTCACCCTCTTGGCCTTCCCACTTCTGCTCTTGCATGTGGAGCGCATTAGCCTTGTGTTCCTGCTTCTGTTTCTGCAGAGCTTCCTTCTCCTGCATCTGCTTGCTGCTGGGATACCCATCACTACCCCTGGTAAATACATACCTCAGCCGTGATTCACCCAAGGACAGTAGGGATACGAGTTTGTTTTCAGGCTGGAGCTAAATCCTCAGGTCTTTGTGATCTCTCTTATCTGCTCTAGCCAAGCTAATTGATTGCTACGATTGGCTCTGAGGGCCAGCAGTGTTCATGAAGGATGGAGATAAGGAGTACTCAAAGACTCATTCTTAAGGAAATGCTGCATCCTCATGAGTGCATTTTCCGATTTTCCCTTCAGGGGAGTGGTGAATTATCCATATATAATGTCATAGTGAGCTGTGTGTATGTGAGAGAGAAGAAATTGACCACAGAGGGGTCCAGATTAGAGTAATGGGGCTTTGTGTCTCAGAGGTAATTAGAATAACAGAATATTGACGATAGGAGGTTTGGGGTGATGGGGGCAAATGTGTGTATGAGAATTAGCATTGAAGTAGTAGTAGTGGTAGCAGTATATGATCATGGGGCAGTAGGCTATGGATTAGGAAATGGGAGGTGACTACAAAGACGCATGTTTCTTTCCCCAGGTCCTTTTATTGTGCCATGGCAGGCAGTCTCTGCTTGGGCCCTCATGGCCGCGCAGACCTTCTATTCCACGGGTCACCAGCCTGTCTTTCCAACCATCCATTGGCACGCAGCCTTCGTGGGATTCCCAGAGGGTCATGGCTCCTCGACCTGGCTGCCTGCTGTGCTGGTGGGGGCCAACACCTTTGCCTCCCACCTCCTCTTTGCAGGTACCCCCTCACTCCTCCTTTGCTTCCACTGTTCACTCTGGCTTTGTAGAAGGAAATGAACCCCCTGGATTTGAGTGGGGACATGTAATTTTGTTGGATCTCTGGCACCCCTTGGCCTACGTTAATTGGAGGCTGAGTGAACTAGGCTAATTGAGGGCCAGGCTGCCTAGACCCTGGGTCCTCCATTGATTCTGCCCTGCCTTCCTCTGAGACAGTAGGTTGCCCATTGCTCCTGCTCTGGCCCTTCCTGTGTGAGAGCCAAGGGTCCCAGAAGAGGCGGCAGCCCCACGGGAATGAAGCTGAGGCCAGAGCTGGGCCTGAGGAGGAGGCGGCGGAGCCACTGATGGAGATGCGGCTCCGGGATGCACCTCACCACTTCAGTGTGGCACTGCTGCAGCTGGGCCTCAAGTACCTCTTTGTCCTTGGTATTCAGGTGGGTCCAGGGGAGCGTCATGGAATTCACGCCCTTTTCTCAGTGTGTGCACATCACATTCTTCCTTTCACACTTTGCCAAAACCCTGGGGGAGGGCCTTGACTGAAGTACAGATAAATGAAGTGGTTGCCCAAGGTTAGTGACTTCAAATGGCAGTATTAAAATTTGAACCTATACAGTCTATCTTTATTCCTAGACTTAAGATTGTTTCCTCTCTACAAGCTAGATTTAGACCCCGTTGTTGCTTTTGGGGTTACTCCATTGGTGTTCTGACTGGAAAAACCGAAGTGATGGCCAGGATTCTTTCCCAGGCTGTGGCCATGGATCCTCCTTTCCTTCAGAGGCAGGGGTGTGATTGTGACATCTTCCTCCTCCCTGGGAGGCAGAGCCTCAGTGTTAGCAGCACAGACGGATAATGCTTGCCCGAGACCACCCAGCGAGTCATGGTGGGGCCAGGCCAAGCATTAGACCTTCTAAGTGTTTGCCCAAGCCCAGTTTTTCCCCCACCGGCACACACTGCTTTCCTGCTCCTCTCATTCTTCACAGGGGCCTACAGCAACTCTCTCTTTGACCTGCCTCCTCCTCCTCTTCCCAAGTAACTTGACTCCTCTCCTCCCTCAGATTCTGGCCTGTGCTCTGGCAGCCTCCATCCTCCGCAGGCATCTCATGGTCTGGAAGGTGTTCGCCCCCAAGTGAGTGGATTTTTCTTGGGGAGTAGAGGTATTGGGGAGGGTGAAACTGGGAACAAAGAATGAATATCCTGGGTGGACGAGGTTTTGCCTCAGCAGGGAAAAAGCTCTAGACCTACTCTCGGTGTCCCCTGATGTTCTCCACCTTTCTTCACAGGTTCATTTTTGAGGCCTTGGGTTTCATTGTGAGCAGCGTGGGACTCTTCCTGGGCTTAGCTTTGGTGATGCGAGTGGATGGTGCTGTGAGCTCCTGGTTTCAACAGCTAGTTCGGGCCCAGCAGAGGTAGCTTAAGCTGTGGATGTTGACTCTTGGCCATGGGGAGAACTGGAGAACAGTCTAATCTGGCCTGTAACGGTGCTGGATCATCTGCAAGAGAAGCTCAACCATACCTCTTACCACCATGCAGCCAGGAGCTACTGGCATATGGGACTTTATTATTTTATAATTAAAAAGCATAGTGGGGCTTGGTCTTTAACTCCTGTTTTAAATGCATCTTTGGGACTGGGGGTGGTCTCCAAAGTGGAATAAAATAATATGAATGAGTGTGTCTGAGATGTAGGGAAGCCCCCACTGTCCTATATGGGCTAGCGGGAGTGTAAGTCACCCTTCCCACCTGGCACAGACGGGATCAGTTCTGCAGATCTGTGTACCTAAGAACCTTTAGGAAACAGTTGCAGTTGTATGAATTCACTTCCCCCAAATCATGCTTTGACTGTGAAAAAAAAAAAAAAAAAATGGCTGAAAAGACAAGCCTGGGCGTCTTGGAGCACACAGACTTCCACTGTGCAAAGCCTGAGTAGTGCTGTCTCTCCTCTACCGAGTGCTTCATCCCAGAACACACTTCTCCCTTCACTTCTGTGGAGGCCTCCTACTTTCCCAACCAGTGTTGCTTTTTATTAGACCTACTTGCCCAGCTGAAAGCATTCTACTTTGTCCCGTGGGTTATTCCTAACTTGATGCCAAAACTGTTTGAATCTAATGCCCCTCATACATATCTCTTGCGTCCTCCATCCACCTCACTACTCCTGTAGCATGTGGAAGTGCTGACATGAAATCCCTGTGGAAATGTCCATCAAAAGAGTGAGGAACACCTGTATGGCTCAATAACTCTTCAGCGATGTGTAGAAGTGAGATTCAAGTTGGTTTTTACTGTGCTTAATAGTTATTTTCTAAGAAAAAAAAAAAAAGAAATGCTCTCACCTAGAACTCAAAAAAAAAAAAAAAAAAAAAAAGAGTGAGGAACAGGCTCTGAGGAGAAGGGTCAGGCCCGGGGTTTGAGGTTTCTGAGTACTCAGGACAGGATGAGATAAGACCACTGAAAGAAGAATGGATGTTAAAATTGTGGGATGACATCCGCCTTTACCTCACAAGGGAAGAAGAGAAACTGAGTGGCAGTGTTTGTGCAGTAAAGGCATTCACTGCTGTGGTAGCTAAAAGAAGAGTCCTACTTATTAATGGTCAACAGTCCTTAGTGCTATAAAGGTCAAATAGGAAGATGATGAAAAGTGTGTACTGTTGCGCGCAATTAGAGGCTAGGACATTAGATCCCGGCAGGGATAGATTTAATAACGCCAGGGGAGAAGTTAGGCCCCAACTAGCCTATAAGATGAATTAGAAAAAGTCCCTCATTCTGGTGGACACAACTCCCAGGCATCATTTAGTGAGCAAAGAAGGATTTTAGGTACATCCGCCTCCTACTTTTTCTTCGTAGGGAGCCCCCTCCCTGGAGCCTAAAGATAATCTGGTTTGCCAACCAGTTTTCACTTCACCCGAAATATCTACAAGATTCTTTTAGAGAAAGACCTGTTAGCACATTGATTTATACTATTAAAAATTTGTATCCCTGCCTTTTACTTGACATCAAAGAGCCCATTCCACACCAATCCATTGTGTTTATTTATTAAATATATTTTATTGATTTTGTTCAGAGAGGAAGGGATAGAGATAGAGAGCTAGAAACATCGATGAGAGTCATCGAACAGCTGCCTCTTGCACACCCCCTACTGGGGATATCCCCGCAACCAAGGTACATGCCTTTGACCGGAATTGAACCCCAGTCCCCAAGCCGACGCTCTATCCATTGAGCCAAACCGGTCTCAGCCCATTGTGTTTATTTTTAAAAAGAGCTTTACAAAAAAACTAGATACTTTTTCCTATTACCCTCCTTACCTCCCCCCTGCACCACCAGCCTTAGGTGACCACTATTCTGGACATTTCATAATAATGTATGACCTTTTGTGACTAACTTCTTCCATTAAGCATAATATTTTTTTTTTAAATATATATATTTTATTGATTTTTGTACAGAGAGGAAGGGAGAGAGATAGTTAGAAACATCAACGAGAGAGAGTCATCGATCAGCTGCCTCTTGCACACCCCCACTGGGGATATGCCCGCAACCAAGGTACATGCCCTTGACCGGAATCGAACCCGGGACCCGTCAGTCCCCAAGCCGACGCTCTATCCATTGAGCCAAACCGGTCCCGGCATTAAGAATAATATTTTCAAGATGCATCTGTATAGTACCAATTTTCTCTTAAAATTCAGATAAAATTCACATAACATAAAATTAACTATGTAAAAGTAGCCTGGCCCTAATCAGTTTGGCTCAGTAGATAGAGCGTCAGCTTGCGGGCTGAAAGGTCCCGGGTTTGATTCATTCAAGGACATTGGCCCATGTTGGAGACTCAATCCTCAGTAGGGAACATGCAGGAGGCAGCCAATCAATGATTCTCATCATTGATGTTTCTATCTCTCCCTCTTGCTTCCTCTCTGAAATCAATAAAAATATATTGAAAAAAAAAATAGCCAAAACCGGTTTGGCTCAGTGGTAGAGCGTCGATCTGCGGACTGAAAGGTCCCAGGTTCGATTCCGGTCAGGGGCATGTACGTTTGTTGCAGGCACATCCCAGGTAGGGGGTGTGCAGGAGGCAGCTGGTCGATGTTTCTCTCTCATCGATGTTTCTAGCTCTCTATCTCTCTCCCTTCCTCTCTGTAAAAAAATCAATAAAATGTATTTAAAAATATATATATATTGAAAAAAAATGAAAGTATACAATTCAGATCTTCCCTTAGGGAAAGGCAGGGGGTCTTATAGTAGCAGGCAGTTAATGACAGAACAAGGACAATGAGCCAGGTACAGAAAGTCACCGAGATGGAAAGCCCCAGTGCCTAAGAGGACCTCCCCTAATATCATCCTTAAAACCCTTAGGTTGGAGGACCCATTGCCCTCTCTCCCTCCCTGGAGTAAGCCCCTTGCTTTCCCTCCCACTCCCTGCCCCAGGCAGGTTACCTGCTTCCACTCTCTCAAGCTCCACAGGCCTTTCATATATATACATATATATATATATATATATATATATATATATATATATGCACACACTGATTTCAGAGAGGAAGAGAAAAAATATCAATGATGAGAGAATTATTGATCACTGCCTACCACATGCCCCACACTGGGGATTGAGCCCACAACCAGGGTAATTGACCTGGTTCAGAGGTGAGCCACGCAGGCCGAGTAGATCCTTTGTTTTTTAATTGGCTTTTCTTTTTTTCTTTTTTTAATTGAACCCGCTGGACTGCCCGCGCCGCCTCCAGAATTGGTTTTTCTTTTTATCATTGAGTTATAAGCATTGCTTATATATTCTAGATATAAGTCCTTTATCACATATATGATTTGAAAATATCCATTCTGTGGGTCATCTTTTCATTTTCTTTCTTTTTTTCTTTTTTTAATATTTTATTGATTTTTTTTACAGAGAGGAAGGGAGAGGGATAGAGGGTTAGAAACATCAATCAGCTGCCTCCTGCACAACCCTTACTGGGGATGTGCCTACAACCAAGGTACATGCCCTTGACTGGAATTGAACCTGAGACCTTTCAGTTCACAGGCTGTTGCTCTATCCACTGAGCCAAACTAGTCAGGGCTCTTATCATTTTCTTTCTTTTTTAAAAAATATTTTTTAAAATTAAATTATCATCTGTGTACATATTTTAACATTGCTCTCCTTTCTTTTTTTATCATTTAATTTAATTTTTTTATTTTTATTTTTTTATTAAGGTATTATATGTGTACATATTTTTCCATTGCCCCTCCCCAATGCCCATATATGCCCTCCCCCCCAGAATCCATTGGTTCTTTTCAGTGTCCTCTGAAGCACAAAATTTTTAAGTTTTGTTTGTTCATTTGTCTGAAGGAGACTGACAGCCTTACTTAGCTAAGTAATCTATTATATAGCACACAAAAATAAAATTTTTAAGATGTTCATTTGATGTTCTTTTGCCACGTTGTTCTCTTCATATCATATGTAAGAAACTATTATCAAGTGCTACAATTTAGTTTTAGAAAATTTTCATCACTTCCACAAATTCCCTGCCTTTGTTTACAATCAATCCCTAATCCCACTCTTTTTGTCCTTATTATTTATCTTTTCTGGACATTTCATATTAATGGAATGCAATATGTGGTCTTTTGGTTTGGCTTCTTTAATTTAGAATAAGGTTGTGAGATTCATCCCTGTTGGTGCATTATCACTTTTTGCCCCTAGTTATTGCTGAGTCATATATTCCATTGCATAGCTATGATCTGATGGTCATTTGGATTATATCCAGTTTTTAAAAGCTATTGTGAATGTGTTTTTAAAAACTGCTATAAGTGCCCTGGCTGAGGACTGAAGGGTCAGATTGCAGCATGTACTTTGGTTGAAGGTTCCATCTTGTCTGGGAGGCAACAATCTCTTACAGAATCGATGTTTCTCTTTGTGTTTCTCTTCCTCCCTTCCACTCTCTAAAAATCAATGGGGAAAAAATATATCCTCAGTGAGGATTAATAACAACAAAATAAATTGCTATGAGCATTTGCATACAAGTCTGTTTTCATTTCTCTTAGGAGGATTTTGTTCATGTAAAAACATTCAAACCTGTACAGAATTTTTGTGAGTTTATTTGAGAAAACTCTCAATTGCCAGGAAGCAGAATCTCAATGTATTAGGATAATGCGCTGGAGAATGGTGGTTTTTCACCTTGTTTTATTCTGAGTGGCCAGATTATTATGATCTCTGAACGCATAATAATCTGGCCACTCTGTATATCCTATATAATAAAAGGCTAATATGCAAACTGTCCCCTCAATGAGGAGTTTGACCAGCAGACCGGTGGACCAACTGCCCATGTCCTCTCCCCCTGGTCAGGCTGGCCTGACCCCACCCATGCACAAATTCATGCACCGAGCCTCTAATATATATATATATATATATATATATATATGTATGTATAAATATACACATACACTGAGTGGCCAGATTATTATGAATCATAATTATCTGGCCACTCAGTGTATATTTTGATTGATTTCAGAAAGGGAGGGAGGAAGGGAGAAGAGAGGGAGAGAGAGAGATGTCTATGATGTGAGAGAATCATTGATCAGTTGCCTCCTGCATGCCCCACACTGGGGATGGAGCCCACAACTCAGACCTTCTGGTTTACAGATGGAAGCTCAACCACTGAGCCATGCAGGCCAGGCTGTGGTTGAATTTTCTTGATGGTGTCATTGTAACATAAGAGTTTTTTCATTTTTTTTCCCAAATATATTTTATTGATTTTGTATAGAGAGGAAGGGAGAGAGATAGAGAGTTAGAAACACCGATGAGAGAGAGTCATCGATCAGCTGCCTTTTGCACACCCCCTACTGGGGATATGCCGGCAAACAAGGTACATGCCCTTGACCGGAATCGAACCCGGGACCTTTTAGTCTCCAAGCCGACGCTCTATCCATTGAGCCAAACCGGTCCCGGCAGTTTTTTCATTTTAATGAAGTCTAACCTCCCATTTATGTGTGTTAATGGTCGCAGATGGTTTTTGTTTGTTGCATACAGATATCCAAGTCTCCTGGCTCCATTTGCTGGGAGGATTTGGGCCGGTACTATACCTGTGAGCAGCAGTGCAGGCTGTACACACACAGGGCCAGGGCGCGCTGCCCGCAGTCAGACTGCAGGCGGTTGAGCCGGCGGTGACAAGAGTGTTGATGCTCCATGGTGAACAGAAAAAGGATGGCCCGATTACCCAGGGCCTTGGTCTCCAGCCGGTTCCTTTTGGAGACGCTTTCCTCTCGGCGGGACTACAATTCCCAGAATGCACCGCGCGGCCTACCGTCCGCCGCGGGAGGGGAAACCAGCGAACCTGGAAGTGTGGCTACGAAGGAAGCGTTCCCGCGGGCTCTGATTTCAATATCGACTTCTTAAGGCCTCAGCGCGAGGGTCCAGCTGGTGGAACGGCGAGCGGTGGAACTCCTCTCTGAGACACGCCTCTGCCTTCCTCCCCGGCCTGGCGGGAATCGTTTAGTTTTCGAGTTTCCCGCGGGGGAGTGTGCCTCCAAGGCGACCAACAGCAGCTGAGAGTCTGGCCGGCCCGGCCAACTAGAGGCGGCGAGGGTGCGCGCCCGGCGCGGAGAGCGCGCACGGCCCCTCCCCCGAGGGTGGGGGCTGCTGTGGGGACGGGCTTGCCCTTTCGCAGCCCCCTCCAGGTCTCCGGGCCCAGCCATGTCCCATCAGACCCCTCTGGGCTCCTCAGGGCCACAAGCCAGCTGCCTGGACCTGTGGAGGGAGAAGAACGACCAGCTAGTTCGACAGGCCAAGGTAACGTGGTTGCTTGGATCTCGCGTTGCAGCCCCAAAATACCAGAAAGAGAGTTTGCTTGTGGACTTAACCCCAGCCATTGGAGAGGGGGGGGGGGGGGGGGGGGTTTGAGCTTGACTTCCTCCTAAAGCCAGAAATGACTGGAGAATGACATCCCTTGCCACTGCTGCGGGGGTAGAGGAAATAGCTTATTCTTAGTGACTCTGCTACACCCCATGTTTGGCAGGTGGCTGAGGACTTGGGCCTGTCACCCAGGCGACAGAAGTTGGCTCAAGATGCGCTGGAAGGGCTCAGAGGACTCCTCCACAGTCTGCAGGGTAAGCAGGGTCCTTTCCAGGATGGTCAGTTCAAAACTCCCTCCCTTTACCCCCTCTCTCCCCAACACACACACACACACACACACACACACACACACACTCTCACACACACACACTCACTCCTGCCCCTCCACAGCCAGAGACCTCTTCATTTCTAGAATTGAGGCAATTATTCAGGATAGGGGGTGGGGTGGGGGGGGGCTGTTTAAGGCACACACAGGGAGTGGATCTTCTTTGTACAAGTGAATCTGTTGTGATTCTGTTGGCTACACACACACACACACACACACACACACACAACAGCATTTGAAGATGTGGTTCCCAGAATGGTCTAATCTGGAGAACTTTTTGCCCTTTCCAAATTTCCTTTTTTAAAGGGTGCATTCTTTTTTTCTTTTTTAATATATTTTATTGATTTTTTACAGAGAGGAAGGGAAAGAGATAGAGAGCTAGAAACGTCGATGAGAGAGAAACATCGACCAGTTGCCTCTTGCACACTCCCTTACCGGAGATGTGCCCACAACGAAGGTACATGCCCTTGACCGGAATCGAACCTGGGACCTTTCAGTCCGCAGTTTGGCTCTACCACTGAGCCAAACCGGTTTCGGCTAAAGGGAGCATTCTTTATTGAGGCCATTTGGTTGAGGTGGGGTGTTTAGGGACTCTTTTATGAGGGGGACAGCCCGTGAGACCAGCATCTGTTGCTCTAGGACTCCCTGCAGCTGTTCTTGTTCTCCCCTTGGAACTGACGGTCATCTGCAACTTCATTACCCTGAGGGCCAGCCTGGCCCAGGGCTTCACTGAGGACCAGGCACAGGATATCCAAAGGGGCCTGGAGAGAGGTGAGGGCCAGAGACTGTCTCCCAGGCTCCTGCCAGCCTCAGTCTGAGTTTAAGTCCTTGCAAGGGGGGGTGGGAGGAGCAACATAATGTGCCACCTCCGTGAAAAGAGATGCCCTTCTCTGATCCTCCAGGTGCTCCTCGGAGCAGGAACACCTTTGTGGTCTTTGGACTACTGTAAAAAAGAGAAAGCCAGAGATGAGGTCCTATCTCAGCTGTGTGTGTGTGTGTGTGTGTGTGTGTGTGTGTGTGTACTCAATAGTGCTGGAGACCCAGAAACAGGTGGGGCCCAAGCTAGAATGTGGGCTCGGGCTCAGGGGCCTGTGGAATTCCGTCCTCCATGCTGCCTCCCTTCCGCCGGAGCTGCTCCCTGCCCTGCACCACCTGGCTGGCCTGCAGGTCGCCCTTTGGCTGAGCACGGACCATCTTGGGGACCTGACCTTGCTGCTGCAGACCCTGAATGGCAGCCAGGTAATTTGGGAAGTGACCTGGATCTAAGGGATTTTTCCCTCCTCCAGCTGTAGTAGGATCATTTTGTGCTGGAAAGGCTGCTGGGGTCTCTCAAGGAATCTTAGGTGACCTTGCTCTGGTTGGTTGCTCATTGGAGGGGTTCTTTAAGGAGCATTTTAAAAGTATTAATAGCTTATGTGGCCGAAACCGGTTTGGCTCAGTGGATAGAGCGTCGGTCTGCGGGCTGAAAGGTCCCAGGTTCGATTCCAGTTAAGGGCATGTACTTTGGTTGCAGGCACATCCCCAGTGGGGGGTGTGCAAGAGGCAACTGATCGATGATTCTCTCTCATCGATGTTTCTAACTCTCTATTCCTCTCCCTTCCTGTCTGTAAAAAAAATCAATAAAAATATTTTAATAAATAAATAAATAAATAAATAATAATATGCCCTGCAAAGTAGCTCGGTTGGAGCAGCATCCTGATGCACCAAGGTTGTGGGTTTATTCCTCAGTCAGGGCACATGCAAGAGTCAGCCAATAAATGCATAAATGGGCGGAAAAAACAAATCGATGCTTCTCTCTCTTTCCCTTCCTCTTTTTCTAAAAAAGTCAATAAAAAACAAACCACACTTAATAATCTTGAGTGGTGGTAGGGTTCTCGTGTCCTTGCAGAAGTCACTTCCCAGTCTGTCCCATGGTCCTTGCCCTGTGTCCTCATGGGCTTATCCTGAGTGAGAAGGTTCTCTAGAGTAGATGGTCATTGGTTTTTCTTCCTCCTTTTATCCTTTCCCCACAGCTGTCTCTTAGAATTGGGGGGAACGGGAATCAGAAGGACCCTTGAATTCAAGGTCCAGCCAGGGTAGACTGAAACAGAAAAAGAAATAGTTATAGACGTGGGTCCTCTTTGTCCTTCTCTCCTAGAATGGGTCCTCTGAGGATCTGCTGCTCCATCTAAAAACTTGGAGCCCCCCAGCTAAGGAACCAGATGACCCACTGACCCTGCAGGATGCCCAAGGCTTGAGGGATGTCCTTCTGACAGCATTTGCCTACCGCCAAGGTCAGCAGTCTGACTCCTTCCTCCCCATTCCCCATCTTAAGGGGTCTCTAGCCTCATGACTTTCCTATCATGTTCTATACATAAATCTATTTAATTCACACCCTGATTGCTTTCAGGCCTCCAGGAGCTGATTGCAGGAAACCTGCCCAGGGCACTGAGCAGCCTGCATGAAGCAGCCTCAGGTCTATGCCCACGGGCTGTGTTGGTCCAGGTGTACACAGCGCTGGGGACCTGTCTCCGAAAGATGGTAAAGAAAGTGCTAGGGTGGGTTGGGGAAACCCTGGGTGTTTTTTCTTTGTGAGCGTGGCTGAGGCTTGCGTCTTCTCACCCCTCTAGGGCAACCCACAGAGAGCTATGCTATACTTGATCACAGCCCTGAAGGGGGGATTAATCTGTGGTCCCCCGCTTCTGGAGGCCTCTAGGCTGTATCAGCAACTGGGGAACACAGCAGCAGAGCTGGAGAGTCTGGAGCTTCTGGTTGAGGTAAGGAGCTGTCCCAGTGGAGGATATGGGGCTTGCTGGGGTGCCTGTGTGAGGCATTTAGTCAAGTGGAAGGAAGCATGGCTCTGAAAGGTTATGGATATACTTTATTTTGTCTCTTTTAGGCCCTGAGTGTCACTCCTAGCTCTGAAGCCCCCCGTTTTCTTATTGAGGTAGAGCTGCTACTTCCACAACCTGACCCAGCCTCCCCCCTTCGCTGTGGCACACTGAGCCAGGTCAGACACCTGCTAGCAAGCCGATGTCTGCAGACGGGAAGGTGAGGTCCTGCCTTGCTCACTTCTCTCCACTTCTCTCCACCAGCTCCTCTCCCCACTTCTGCTACCTCTGTTTCTGTTCTTGTGAGTGAGAGGGATGGATGGATCAGTGGCAGGACCTAGGTCCCCACTCCTCAACATCCTGCCTTGCCACTGGACCTGAACTTTTCTCCCAGACACTAACCTGTATACTGTTATTTTTTTTTTTTTAATTTGTACAGGTTTATCTTTTTAAAATTCTTTATTGTTGAACGTTTTACATAGTCTCCTTTTCCCCCCCATTGACCTCTCCCTGCGCACTCACCTCCCCCAGCATATGCCCCCACCCCTCTGCTGTCTGTGTACTAACCTGTATCTTTAAAACTCTGAAGTCTCCTCCCAAATCCGTCGTGTAAGTAGGGTATATCCATACTTAGCCAAGGTTGGAGCCACAAGACCACCCACTCCCCAGGACCCTTGAGCATCCTTCCCTTAGCTAGGAGTCCTTGGAGGTCCCTGCAAGGATCTAATGTAAGGCTCATGGGCTGTGACTCCTCAGGACAGAGGATGCTGCAGAGCATTACTTGGACCTACTGGCCCTGTTGTTGGATGGCTGGGAGCCAAAGGTAGGTATATCTTCAAGGTTCTCTACAGTTGTGGGTGGGGAAAGAGTTGGAGTCTCCTTTGGAATAGAGCAAGATTGCTGTTTTCTGTTTTTTTCCTCTGCTGTTTTGTCTGTCAAGTCTAGGGAGTAAAGGGGCCAGATCAGTCAGGATTCCCAGAACAGGGGATCCATGGCAGCAAGCAATGGGTGGTTTCCATGTGGTACCAGAGGTTGGGGGTGGTGCTCACTGCATCTTTCTCTCCATCCCAGTTTTCTCGACTCCCCTGCCCTCAAGGGCTGTGCATGCCTGAGATATTCTTGGAGGCAGCAGCAGCACTGATCCAGGCAGGCCAAGCTCAGGATGCTTTAACCGTATGTGAGGAGCTGCTGCGCCGTACATCATTTCTGCTTCCAAAAATGCCCTGGCTGTGGAAAGATGCCAGAAAAGGAACCAAGGAGTCACCACACTGCCCACCCTGGGTCTCTGCCGCCTACTTGCTTCAGGGACAAGCCTGGGTACAACTAGGAGACCCGAAACAAGCAATTAGTGAATTTAGCCGGTGAGCCCAGGAAGCCAACCGGGGGGCCCTAGGGGAAGTGTGGAGGGATGATTTTCTCATTGGGACCTGAATTGGTGAGCTCCATTCTTATCTCTTCACCCCAGAGTTTCTGAGCTTGACTCCTCTTTACACCTGTTCTATGTCCCACTTCAGGTGCCTTGAGCTGCTCTTCCGGTGCATACCTAAGGATAAAGAACAAGGTGATTTAGATTCAGTTTTCCTCTTCCCTCCTGGAAGTGGTGATAGTGGATATCAGTTCCCTCTTCATGTGTCCCAGCCCAACAGGGGATGTAAGAGAAAGAGACTCCGGACACAAGAAGAGATGGAGGGGGATTGGGGTTTAGTTAGTAACTTTGTGGCTGGTAACACACTTCTTGACTTTGGGGATCCCCAGGGCCTGCTTCCAACTGTGAACAGGGGTGGTGTATGTCAGACGAGGCACTACAACAGCTTCGGGCAGCTGCCCTGATTAGTCGTGGACTGGAATGGGTGGCCAGTGGCCAGGATACCAAGGCACTACAGGACTTCCTCCTCGGTGTGCAGGTGTGTCCAGGTATGTATATTTGCATGATGTCAGCTATGCATAGATGCACATGAGGGAGGAGGTCCTGAGTGATGTTCCCAGATAGGAGGGTGAATGGGATTGTGCTGTATATAACCAGGGATATACACAGACGTACACAAGACATACACAAGTGTGTATGAAGGTCTCTAAGAGTTCCCCAGTCTTCCCAATGTCCTCAGACACAAAGACAGTGATGGTGTCTGGAGTGTGTTGGGCAGGAGCAGAATTAGTTGAGCCCTTTATCCTGGCCAGGCAGTGCTTAGGGGTAGGAATGATTGGGAATAATCTCATGTTTAGTATGTGACTGTAGGCAAGACAGTTTCCTGCTTTATGCCTCAGTTTTGCCTTTTATAAAATGATGCCTAAGACTGGGTCAAGTTCTAAGATTCTGTCTTCTGCGGTGGGACCACAGGTAATGGAGATGCTTCACTTCACCTGCTTCAGACTCTGAGGAGACTGGGTCGGAGGGATGAGGCCACTGCTCTTTGGCGGAAGCTGGAGGCCCAAACTAAGTTGCCACAGGAGAACGCTACATGGTGAGGTTGAGGCCTGCTGGCTTGGGTCTAGGAGCAGCTGGTATCCTGGAATCCTTGGGCCTATTGGGGAGTGGGGTGGTGAATGAAAGGGAGGGAGTGTCTGCCCAACCTTCTGCCTACACTTTTCTCTTAGACATCACCCTTTTTGCTCTACAGGTCTCTCCCCCTGTACCTTGAAACCTGTTTGAGCTGGATTCGTCCTCCTGACCATGAAACCCTTCTTGAAGATTTTCGGACATCTCTGCTGGAGCCTTGTAACCAGTAGTTGCCAAGTTTAGAAGAATCTGAGCTGGGGTCCTAGTGGGCCATCTTTCTGTGGGGAGGGCTTTCTGCTTTACCCTCCTTGGGGAATGTGTTTGGAGCTGACCATTCCCATATAAGTCCAGCTTTTGAAAGGTTGGTGATATTCCTGAAAAAAATTTTGACCTAGTTATTGCCATCTGGTTCCAGAGATACCCCTCCCCCCAACAAGGCATTGACTTTGCTCAAAGCACCTTTTCCCCTGTTTCCCCTTTGCTTGTGTTGAGTAAAATCTCATATCTATCTCTTGTCTGCCTGTTAAATATACTACATACACAGCTGTCTGGTTCACTTGAGTGCTGGTTGTTTAAGGTGCCATCTCCCAACATCATCTACCTTATGACTTGAGGTTTGGAGTAGAAGAAAGGGCTAAAGGAATGCTAGAGGAATCCTTATTCAGAAAGCAGACTTTAGCTCTTTCTATTGCCTAAAAGCAAAGGCCCAAGCCCCAAATCCTGTGTGAGTTGACAGAATGATTGGAGGTGGGCCTGCAAGGTGATCTAGGCAGGCTTTCCATGACAAGGGCAGGTATTTGATTCTTGGAGGGGCGAGACAAGCAAACCTGAGTCTCTCAGATTGACTTCCCATCCCTTCCTTAATTCCAAATTCTATGAATTTGAGAGTTGACTGCCTCAGTCAAATGTGTCTGAAGGATGAATCAAGTTAACAAGCTACCAAAGCTGCCTGTTGAATATAGTCAGGACTAGCTGGCATTTTGGGCCCATGCAATTTTCTTGTTGCTTTGGGCTCTCTTGAATCTGGTGTGTTCTTTGGTAGTCTTTCAACCTCTCTCTGGACTTGGGTGCCCCCCATCCTCAAATCATCAGTGGTAAGAGGAAGAATGTACCTCCAAGCCCCTAAGAACTTGGGGACCAGCGTTAACCCTCTAGAGGGTGCAATGACTAAAATAGAGTGGATTGAGAGCTGCAGTGCTAGTTCAAAAGGGTCCAGAGTAGAAGTGGCCTGAGCTAGCATTTTGAAGGAGCAGGGAGAGGGGTGAGGGTGAATCCTCATTTTGGAAGAAGATAGATGTGTAGGTTAATACTACAGTAATACAAGGATTCAATCCATTGTGCCAGGTTTTTCCAGCAGGATAAACTCAGGAGCCAATGAGCTGGAGCCAAGTGGGAGAGACCGCCTCCAAGAGATTGAACCCTCCTTCCGCCAGTCGATCTGGTCCCATTCCTCTCGTTGATTGGCTAAGACTACCAATCCGTCGAGGAAGCGTAGCGCTGCGGCCAATTGACGTGGCGATACATACTTGAGGCGGGAGCCAGGCCAAAGCGAATTTTCTGATTGGCTCTGGCCCGTGGGTTGCTGGGGAGAGGCGCGGAGAGGCGGGCGGTAGTCCCTAGGGCAGGCGCTGATTGGCTGAAGCGAGAGTACCTCTTCTTCCGATGATTCGGCTCTTCTCGGCTCAGTCTCAGCGCAGCGTCTGTAGCCGTCGTTTGAGTCATCGCAGCCGCTGCCTCGCGCGGATCAGGAGCCAACGTCTCCTGCCCGCTCGCCGCACGGGTGCCGCTGGGAGGAAGCGACCGGGAGGCCGCCTGCGGGTCTGTCGCCGCTGCTCGCCACCCCGCCCGGGAGAGCCGAGCCCGGGTCCAGACGGTCTACTGCCGCCCCTCGTAGCCGTTACCCTTGGGCTGCCACCGCCGCCGGCCGGGAGAGGCTCGCGCCATGGCCTCCGGAGCTGAGTGAGTGTGTGCGCGCGCCCGCCCGCCCGCCCGCCGCGGGTGCGCGCACAGGGGGCCCCCCCGGCGCTGGGTAGGCCCGGGTGGACCTGGCCGTGGGCGCGTCTAATCGGTGTGGAGACCGGGGAAAAGGGAGCCATGGAAGGAAGGAGACGAGCGAGAGGACGGGAGCGAAGGAAGGGCCGGCGGGGCCAGGCTGCGCACCCGTGCGCCCCCTAGGCGGGCTTTGCGCTGGGCCCGGGTCGGGGCCTGGGCCGGATCGTGCTGTGTCATGCAGGCCCGGCCGGCCCGATTGTCTCGCTCGGAACGGCCATGCGGGCCTAGTGAGGGCTGCCGGCCCGCACTGCCGGCGCCGAGCCCTGCGGCCTGGAGCCCCCGCGCCTCCCCCTCCGACTCGGCCTACCAGCCGCCGAAGGCCTGTGGTTCCGGGAGAGAGCAGGCCCCAACGCCCTCACTGGGCCCGGTGGGCGTGGGCTTCGGGCCGGGGAAGGCCTTCGGAGCCGGAGCCGGAGGCGGAGGGAGGCCGTGGCGGGGGAGGCCCGGCGAGCGCGGGAGGCTCTGGGCCGGCGCTGCTGGAGCGAGTCGCCCGGGCCGCGGGAGCATCCTGTGCGGCCGCGGGAGCATGAGGGAGAGTGGGCCCTGCTCTCCGCCCCGGCCTGTCCACAGGAGAAAGCTTTAGTCCGTCTTCCTTGGTGTCATGTAATAGGCGTGGGGAGAAAGGGACCTTTTCTTAATTTACTATTTTAGGTTCTCGCTCTATCCTTCGAATAGGAGTTCGTATTTTCTGGGCCTCCCTGGATTTCGGCCTTCGTGGTGTGTAGGTTAAGAGTTGCTTCTAACTCTCCCAAAACACACGGTTTCTGCTCTCTTCCCCCTCCGCCCTCCCCCCAAAAATTGCTATGTTGAGCAATCCTGGGCCCTCCACCCTGAGGAAAGCACCAGATAAAATCTGGCCCCTCTGTCCACTGAATTTAGAATCCAGAGCTTTACCTTCTGGGGGGGAGGGAGGAGACACAGCCATCCTATGGCAGCTCCTCTATGCAAATCACCTTCCTGACTCAAAGAGATTTTTTGTTTTTGGTGTGTTCCTTTATTTTCAAGTTTCTGAATCTAGGTAAAGTATTACTCAGTCATCTATAATATTTAAAAGGTCCACTCATTAATACTTAAAATTTACGTTACCCAGTCAGTCTTTCGTTTTCAAAACTAAAACTAAAAGTTCAAAATTATTGGAACCTGGCCGCATAGATGGTTTCTAATCTCTAGGTCATCTTGTTGACTCTTCCCTGAACTCTCCCTCCAAGTCCCCCGTGGTGGTCCTTTGGATTCTGGAAAGGACCTCACTCATGCAGAAGACAATAGGAGGTGTCTCCAAAGAGCCTCCAGACTGCTGTTGAGTGACATTCAGGCTGAATTCTCTCTTTTCGACCTTCCTACCTTTTATCAGTATATAGATGTGGGATTAAAGTCTTTATCTTAACTCAGGTGGGAAACCTATTTTCAGTCAACAGCTATTTGGATGTTTATAATATTTCTGGGTAATACAAAATTACCAACTGAAAGATTAGCCTGCTATATTTGGTCAAATGCCTTGGGCATTCCAGACGAAAAGATTTCTTGGGCCTTACAGCCCTCAGGCCGGATGTTCCCCACCAAGCAGGAAGATGGGCAGCCTTTTTAAATATATTTTATTGATTTTTTGTTTTTGTTTTTAAAAATATATATTTTATTGATTTTTTTACTGAGGGGAGGAGAGAGGGATAGAGAGCTAGAAACGTCGATGAGAGAGAAACATCGACCAGCGGCCTCCTGCACATCCCCCATGGGAGATGTGCCCGCAACCAATATACGTGCCCTTGACCGAAATCGAACCTGGAACCTTTCAGCCTGCAGACCGACGCTCTACCACTGAGCCAAACCTGTTTCGGCTGGAGGATATTTTGAAGTCTGAGGGAGAGGGAGAATCGATGGGTTTAAATTACCCTCAGATGTCACATTGACCATGGTTGCTCTCCAGGATATTGATTAGCATTGGGAAAACTTGTCTACTCTGCAGCTTATGCCCAAAGTGCCACACTTTTGGGGTTGGGGAGGCAAGTTTAAGCCTAGGAAACTCCACTCTTGGAAACTAGTTTAAAGGTGGTGATTAAGGATGCAACCTGTGTAAGGGGATCAGAAAATTTTCAATTTTATTAGAGAACGGGGTTTTATTTCTTTTGAGTATATCAGGACCAAAATATATAAAAACCCCATAACTCCACAGCAGGAATTCTGGAGCATAGGCATCTCTTTTCTTGCAAGTTGTGAAAACATTTCTAATAGGAATACTATTTTGTTTTGTTTTGTTGTCTGATAAGTCCCTGGATTTCAGAACAGTGGCTTGCATATAATACATATGCTCATTAATTTGTTGAATGGAAAAATAACTCTTGGAAGATAATTCTTTTTTATGTATTTCTTCACTTCCTCCATTATCTAGTCTCCCAATTAGTGAGGCACATGTTTTCTTGAGCCTTACTAAGAGGTAGTTCTTCAAAGGGGGAGAGCCCACCAGATTGAGCTAGTAAAGGCTGGAGATAAGCTAGGTAAAAAATTGGTGTCCACAAAATAATTGAAACTGGACAGTTTATTATTTTTTGTTTATCCTCACCCAAGGGTATTTTTCCATTGATTTTTTTTTAAAATATATTTTATTGATTTTTCACAGAGAGGAAGAGAGAGGGACAGAGAGTTAGAAACATCGATGAGAAAGAATCATCGATCAGCTGCCTCTTGCACACCCCCCACTGGGAATATGCCCGCAATCCAGGTACATGCCCTTGACCGGAATCGAACCCGGGACCCTTCAGTCCCCAAGCCGACACTCTATCCACTGAGCCAAACCGGTCTAGGCTGATTTTTTTTTTTTTTTTTTTTTAAGAGAAGGGGGAAGTGGAGAGAGAAACTGAAACATCTATGTAAAAGTGAAACAAATCACATGCTTATTTGCTTCCTACATGTGTCCAAACTGGGGAAGGGGTTGAACCTGCAACCCAGTATGTGCCCTTGACTGCCTTTGGGTGCACAGGTTCACCACACTCTAACCACTGAACAACACCAACACCAACCAGCGTGAAACTGGACAATTTAAAGTGGTTTAAACTCAAGCAACCTTGATTTGGGTGAAAGGGATTTGGATTTGCTCCAAGTCTCAGCATTTCTTGGTTTTGACGTTTTTTAAAAATTTTATTTTTAAAAATATATTTTATTGATTTTTTTACAGAGAGGAAGGAAGAGGGATAGAGAGTTAGAAACATTGATGAGGGAGAGTCATTGATCAGCTGCCTCTTGCACACCCCCTACTGGAGATGTGCCCGCAACCATGGTATACCTGGGACCTTTCAGTCCACAGGCCGACTCTATCCACTGAGCCAAACCAGTTTCGACTTTTTTTTTTTTTTTTAAATAAATCTTCACCTGAGGACTTGGTGAGAAGGAGGGAGAAACATCAGTGTGAGAGAAGCATCAATCAGTTGCCTCCCATAGGTGCCCCAACCAGGGATAGAACCAGCAACCCAGGTATGTGCCCTAGCTGGGAGTTGGAACAGGCAATCTTTTGGTGCACAGGATGACATTCAACCAACTGAGTCACTCTAGCTGTTGGTTTTGACTTTTAAACCAACTCCATGGAGTTGTGTGCTTTGCAGAGATTACCGTTTGAGCTTAACCCTCTTTCTGAAGGTTCTAGATCTGTTCCTGTTTTTTTTTTTTTTTTTTTGGTTTTTTTTTTTTTTTTTTTTGGTTTTTTTTTTATGATGGTATTTAAGTTTGACATTTCTGTGGTATATAGAAAGGTCTGGCACTCAGCAGATTTAGCCGGTAAAGGAGGGTAGTGCTAATTTTGATTCATTGTCCCTAGTCTTGCTTGGTGGTACTTGGGACCTCACTGAATCCTAAGGAAGTTGTCTAGCCCACTTCATTCTTTTCCCTTTGCCTTTCCCTTTTCCTTCTCCTCTCTCTCTTTGCCTTCAGAAGCAATACCATTAGCTTCCTCACTCCCAAGTCTTCAAGGGCCCTTCTTTTATAATTTATTTCCTAAAACCGTTTCTTATAGAAATTACTTTTTCTAGCTCTGTGATTTTATAGATGTTCTCTTACCAAAAAAAGAGTTAGCAAAGAAAAGGCTGCGCTTTGTTTTATAGTGCTAATTAATTGTAGTGACCATTAATATTACGTGAGACATTGTGTTGAACATTTTGCATTCATTATCTCACTTAGAACAATAATCCTGAGGTAGATACTACTATATCCCCATTTCACAGATTAGGAAATCAACTTCCAAAGAGGTTAAATAACTTGGCCAAGATCAAAGTTAAGTAATGGCAGGGTTGGAATTCAGGCCCAGCAGGTCTGACTGCAGTGCCTTCCTCTTAACCACTATTCTATCCTAAGACTGTTTTCATTTCTGTAATTGTATTTAATCTCCACTTGTATTTCACCTTTTTAGGTCATATTGTTTTTTTGTTTGTTTGTTTTTAATTCTTTATTGTTTAAAGTATTACATATTGTATTACATATGTCTCCTTTTTCTCCCTATTGGCCTCTCCCCGGCCATCTCCACCCCCCAGCACATGCCCTCACCGCCCTAGTGTTTGTGTCCACTGGTTATGCTTATATACATGCATACAAGTCTTTTGGTTGATCTCTTACCCTCCACCCCCCCAGACCATAGTTTTTTTACCCTTGGGCTTTATAGCTAGCATACTAGCATCCAAGAGCTACTGGACTGGGAATTCAAATATGTGCTAGGTATTACTCGACTTTGGCTGAACTTCCACTTCATCTACTCACTATTTCTTTTCAAGTGTAAGTTTTAGAAATTGGTGGGGTCCCCGGGGCTGGAGTATATATTGAGACTGACTTCATTTTCTCTTTCTAGTTCAAAAGGTGATGACTTATCAACAGCCATTCTTAAACAAAAGAATCGTCCCAATCGGTTAATTGTCGATGAAGCAATCAATGAGGACAACAGTGTGGTGTCCTTGTCCCAGGTAGGATAGGTCCACTGTCCGGTCTTTCCTTATTTCACTTAACCTGAGGGTTTTTCCCAGGATTCTTTTCTCATTTTTCTTGCAGTGACCACAAATAGAGTGGGGTTTACTGGGAATCCCAACCTCCAGGGCTGCTGCTTACCCCCTGGCCCAGTGACCCAAAGGCCTTAACCTTGTTTCCTCAGCCCAAGATGGATGAGCTGCAGTTGTTCCGAGGTGATACAGTGTTGCTGAAAGGAAAGAAGAGGCGGGAAGCTGTGTGCATTGTGCTTTCTGATGACACATGTTCTGATGAGAAGATTCGAATGAATAGAGTTGTTCGGAATAACCTTCGCGTACGCCTAGGGGATGTTATCAGGTGTGTGTGTGGGGTTCTTGACCCCTCAGGGATGGGAGGCCAGAGATAGCCTGTCTTATAGGCAGGACCCCTATGAAGAAGGCCTTGGCAGCTGCTGGCATCAGAAGCCTCCTAACCATGGAAAGATTTATGTATCAGAGCTGGTTTTAGGCTTTGGTTTTGCCTTCCGGGGACTTTAAAATCTGCTTCTGCTTGACTGTTGGGACAAATTGGAATTTCTATGACTTTCTTAATGCCTTTTTTCCTTTATTATTTTCTATAAGAGGTATAATTTATTACATTTTAGACCCTGGTTTAGGATGCCATTTGAGGGTGTGTACCTGCCAAATAATCTCACTACTGTGTTAGATTAATGATTTGTGTTAGGGCTTAGATAAGGTGGGAGAATGGGTGTGGAAGTTGAACTCCTAGCAGGTCTTTTTAAGGATCCAAATTAATCTAGGAGAGAAGCATAGTTTGAGCTAAACCTAGGATAGCTGCCATCAGTGATTTTGGATTTAACTTTAGGCAAAAAGCTTTTCTCATGGTGGAGTCATATTTAGCTACTGCTACCCAACCACCTGTTAACTGGCCATCAATATCAGTCTTCTGATTCTTTTTTAAGATTTCTAGGTTTCATGTAGATTTCCTGGAGGGGCTTAGTCACTTTTCTCAAGATGCTCTGACCTCCTATCTTGAGATTATTTTTTCATTTCTGTTTCTCTGACCCTGACACTTAACCTCCCTTTTCAATATTGGGTCACCAATACCCAGAATGGGTCATCCTTGGATCTCTCTCACTGAAGGCTATCTCTCCCGTCTTTGTAGGGGTTCCAGATGTGTGGGTCTTCCTTTTAGTTTACTGATTGGGAGCGGGCAGCCCCACTAATGGCTTCTACCCTTTCCTGAGTGTGAACTTGCTTAGTTCTGCTTGGCTGATCCTTTGTCCTCATTCCCACTCTATCCTGCCTCTCTTCACCTAAAGCCATCCCTGCCTTTTCTCTTTCACTTGCCATCAGCTCTCTGTGCCAGGCCCTTTCGGACACCCAGTGCTTGGGGCTGCAGTGTGGTTGGTAATGTGGAGTCTGCTTGTCATCCTCAGCATCCAGCCATGCCCTGATGTGAAGTATGGCAAACGCATCCACGTGCTACCCATCGATGACACGGTGGAAGGTATCACTGGCAATCTCTTTGAGGTATACCTTAAGCCATACTTCCTGGAAGCTTATCGACCTATCCGGAAAGGTGAGAGACAATTTTAGAGACTGAGCTTAAGGATGGCTGTTTGTGGGGATACTAGTCAACCTTAGAACATCTGTCTCAGTCTCGTATCCTCCTATCTAATAACAGGGTAATATGCAAATTAACCATTACTCCATCACGATGGTGGTACCCAGGCCTCTCAGCCCCACTGGAGTCTCCCAGCCCTAGGGGCACAGCTGTTGAGAGTGGGCAGTGTGTGCAGCCTGGTGGAATGCTTGCTGCGTCGCTGCCTGGGCGCAGATGGGCCTCTGGGCCAAGGAGAGCCTCTGGGTAGTGGGCGTGGAGTGGCCAGGCCCTGCAGAGAGCTACTGGTGCACGGATTCCTGCACAGAGCTACTAGTGTGTGTATACATGTGTACTTCCCCCTGCCTTCCTTCCCACTCCCCTGTTACTCCATTCACACTCCCTGCTCCAGGAGAGTAAACTGTCTTTTCTTAAATCTCTGGGCCATTTTGGCTGTGTCACAGTCCAGAGTATTTAATGTTTAGCACAGCTCTACCATCGGTGGGTGTTATAAAGCTTGGGTTCCCTAAACCCCAGAAGTCAAAACCTTATGGGCTTCTGGCATATCAAATTGTTCACTGTCCCTCTTGAGAGTCAGAAGGACACTTTACAGGTTAGCTTTTCTCCTCTTGCCTGATGTTTAACAGAATCATAGAGGTTGGGAGAATGGGGAGACAATATCCAGTGAATTTGGCATTCTAGACTCCAGGTTTTGATGAATAATTCTCCCTTAGTCTTATAACTGATACCTCTAACTGCCTTCGTGCTGATTGTTCTCACAGGAGACATTTTCCTTGTCCGGGGTGGAATGCGTGCTGTGGAGTTCAAAGTAGTGGAGACAGATCCTAGCCCTTACTGCATTGTTGCTCCAGACACAGTGATCCACTGTGAAGGGGAGCCTATCAAACGAGAGGTGAGTCTTCTTTCTGATCCCAATACTGGACTTCATGATACTCAGTGGGACAGTCATGTGATGGTTATCAAGCAGGGTGCTATTTGGAACTAAGCTTCTTGTAGAGGTGGGAAACCTCCCAGTTATTCACTTCTGGGCTTAGGTGTTTCTTAGAAGTACCTGATACCAGTAATTTAAAAAATCTAGTTTGAACCAAAAGGATCTAGGTAGTCAGACTATATTTTGAACAAGTAATGCTGGTGATTGAGCTGCAATTTCTATTTACCAGAATTTCTAGCTTCACGTCTTAGGGGAGCCCTTCCCAGTAGACTGAGGACAGTGTGAGAGGGAAAAGCTGTGCTGGAAATCTTTGCCTGGGGATTTTGGGTTGTTCCTTGAGGCATAGTCCCATTAGAGGAGAGTCTTCAGTTATAGCAGGTTTTCCCACACCAGATTGTGGAAGGATTTTAAAAAACTCTGCTTTTGCTGATAATAATATCCCTGCCTTCTCCTTTGTCTCCTCCATATTCAGGATGAGGAAGAGTCCTTGAATGAAGTAGGCTATGATGACATTGGTGGCTGCAGGAAACAGCTGGCTCAGATAAAAGAGATGGTAGAGCTGCCCTTAAGACATCCTGCCCTATTTAAGGCAATTGGTGTGAAGGTGAGCCTCTGGGACTCAGTCGAGGGTGGTGATTAATATATATAAAGTAACTCAAGATGTAAAAGCTATTCTTATGAACCCTATAGAAACAAATCTCACCATAGTTTGCTAACTGGTCTAGTAGAGTGCTACCCAGTAGAAGCAGAGTTAAGGAAATTTGCAGTGTAAGGGTCCTGAGTCTAAAACATTTGAGAACTGCTGGTCTGGAATGGAACTTTCCAACCATTTCCATGTCATAGGACATACTGAAGATGAAATTATTACCCCTCCCCTTAGTATGCATCATATAAATAACTATCTTCTGTGTGGGCACTTACCATGTATTGCTTGTGGATGAGGCCACAGAAAGGACAGCTTCAAAGAGGAAGACTTGGGATTGGTTGTAAGGAAAAGCATTCTAACATAATAAATCCTGAAGGGTTGTGATTACTGAAGTGATTGAGTCTCTGGCAACACTTTTTCTGGAAAATGTATTTTTATTGATTTCAGAGAGGAAGGGAGAAAGAGATAGAAATAATAATGAGAGAATCGTTGATTGGCTGCTTCCTACACACCCCACACTGGGGATCAAGCCATAACCCAGGCATATGCTTAACAAGGAATCAAACTGTGACCTCCTAGTTCATAGGTCCACACTCAACCACTGAGCCACGCCGGCCTGGCTCTGGCAACACTCTTTTGAGTAAGCTACCAGTAATTTAAAAAATCTTGGTTTATCTAAAGTCAAGTTCTTGGCCTAATGGTCTCTTGCTTTTGTCTAATGCCAGGATCTTTAAAAATATATTTTATTGATTTTTTACAGAGAGGAAGGGAGAGAGAGAGAGAGAGCTAGAAACGTCGATGAGAGAGAAACATCAACCAGCTGCCTCCTGCACACCCCCTACCGGGGATGTGCCCACAATCAATGTACATGCCCTTGACCCGAATCGAACCCGGGACCTTTCAGTCCGCAGACCGACGCTCTACCGCTGAGCCAAACCGGTCTCGGCTAATGCCAGGATCTTTAGACTAAATTGCAGTAGTTTCTTGGTTTTCTCCGCCCTTTATTTCCTATTTATGCTAATAAAAGGGTAATATGCTAATTCTACTGGATTGACCAGGCATCTTCTGGAAGTCTGACTTCCTTCTGGACAAAGCCATGGTGGTGGGAGCTGAGGTACAGGTGGTTATGGGTGATCAGGCAGGCAGGGGAGCAAGCAGGGGGTGGGGGGTGATCAGGCCAACAGGCAGAGGTGGTTAGTCCCGGATTGTGAAAGGGATGTCTTGACTGCCCCCAAGGGGTCCCAGTTTGGAGAGTGTGCAGGCTGGGCTGAGGGGAACCCCCACCCCTTGCACAAATTTTGTGCACCAGGTCTCAAGTGCAAGTTATATTCATAGATGTTAGCCTTCTATCAGTATTTTCCCTGCTGATAAGGGGAGTGAGTGTGACCTGAAAGAAGCTGTCTTTCCAGCAGCTATGGCTAAGGACTCAATTTTACTGGTGTCAAGGTTGAGCTGTGATTCTCACCCTCAGTTAAACCCTACTTAAGCCATGTTAGGCTGGATGGGGTTGGGAGAAAGTGAGCGTCAGAACCTAATTATATTCTCTGTACTGTCCTCAGCCTCCTCGGGGAATCCTGCTCTATGGACCTCCTGGGACCGGGAAGACTCTGATTGCTCGAGCTGTGGCAAATGAGACGGGGGCCTTCTTCTTTTTGATCAATGGTAGGAAACCGTTCACTGTTTGGCTAGATGGAATTCTGAGCTTAGCACGACCCAGTCTCCTGGGCTGGATAAATCCTGGCACATTGATTTGCACACATACTCTTATGTACACTTTAGCTTTTTTTTTTTCCTGCTGGGGTACATTATAGACAAATAAGCAATAAGGGAAGATATTTTCCTCTTCTGCCCCAATCTATCCCTCTTTGAGAAAGATTATAGACAGGCTGAAAACATTTAGAGGGAGCAAGTTAGGATGGGAAATCAAAAAGTCTATGCTTATTTATTTTAGAGGGTTTGGGGGAAAGGCAACTGGATCTTAAGAATGCTATTTAGCTGTTAGAGGTCCAACTGGTGTGCTGTTTCTCCTGCTCTGGCCAGAGGGCCTAGAGCATCTTCTGTCATCTTCACACTTTCATCTCAACTATGAGATAAGTGTACTAGTTCCCTTGGTTTCTCTCCAGTCTGGCCTGTTGATTATCCTGGAATAGTGGCTCATAGAGTCTGTGATAAAGTAGGCAGAGGTTATCTACCATCTTCTCACCCAGGACCTGTTTCTAGTCATCTTAGCAAACAACATAACTGCTTTCATTTGGGAATAAGGAAGGATATAGTTTGTCATTGACTTTATTCTGAATCCCTTCAGGTCCTGAGATTATGAGCAAGTTGGCTGGTGAGTCTGAGAGCAACCTTCGTAAAGCCTTTGAGGAGGCTGAGAAGAATGCTCCTGCTATTATCTTCATTGATGAGCTGGATGCTATTGCTCCCAAAAGAGAAAAAGTAGGGCTTTAACTCAGGGGATTAGTGGAGGGGTTGAAAGGTTTTGATTTCACTTGTGACCAGATATCCTGTCCTGACAGACCCATGGGGAAGTGGAACGGCGCATTGTATCACAATTGTTGACCCTTATGGATGGCCTTAAGCAGAGAGCACATGTGATCGTCATGGCAGCAACTAACAGACCTAACAGCATTGACCCAGCCCTACGGCGATTTGGTAAGGCCCCCAAACTTTCTTTAAACTCTGTCCTTGCTCATAGGGAGATCATAACTCTACTTGGCTAATTTTTTTTTTTTCCTTTTTAAAATATATTTTTTATTGCTATCAGAGAGGAAGGGAGAAACATCAATGATGAGAGAGAATCATTGATCAACTCCTTTCTGCAGGCCACCACTACTAAGTTCAAAAGTCAGACATGTGCCCTGACTAGGAATCGAACTTATGACCTCCTAGTTCATAGGTCAGTGCTCAACCACTGAGCCGGGCTTTGTTTAATTTTTTTAATCCCACATCTGTCATTTATCTAAATCATCTAATCCTGCTCATTTCTTGAAGCTTTTTGTAGTGAAAGGGCCTGGCTGCCCTTTCCCTTACTTCATGCACTGTCTGGGGTGAGCCATCCTGGAATGCCTGAAACTGAAGGGTTTCTCAGGACGTGGGACACATGGGCGTTTTGATTGCTAAAATCAGAACAGTCCTGGGTGTAAACTAGGATGGTTGGTCACGTTAGGCCTATCCCTTCCTTTTGGACCAGAAATAAGCCCTGTGTATATTCACACGTTGTCCCACAGGTCGCTTTGACAGGGAGGTAGATATTGGAATCCCTGATGCTACAGGACGTTTGGAAATTCTTCAGATCCATACCAAGAACATGAAGCTGGCGGATGATGTGGACCTGGAACAGGTGGAGTAGTGATGAGAGCTGACCAGGAGTTTTAAGATAACTATTTTCAGGCAGTTGAAGGGAACTGTCTAGAAATATAAACTTAAGATGTGTGAGGAGACTGATTTTGATTTTGGGGCAGAGAAAAGGAAGTGATTTGAGATTGAATCCAGGAAACGAGTTGGCATGTTTATTGATTGACGTATTAGAGCAAACCAGAATTTTAAGGGCAGCTTTATTTCCAGGCCCCAAGTTCAGGTTTGAATACTTGTATCTATCCTGTGAAAGAACTGCTAGTGTGGGTTTTAGTAATTGGGAGGACCCAGAAATAGGAATCAGGAGTTCTGACTAGGATTCTGTTGTCTTTGACCCTTTAAAGCAACCAGGTCTTAGAGGAAATACAGTAAGTAGAATTTCTCTTTGCAGGTAGCCAATGAGACTCATGGGCATGTGGGTGCTGACTTAGCAGCTTTGTGCTCGGAGGCCGCTCTGCAAGCAATCCGCAAGAAGATGGACCTTATTGACCTAGAGGATGAAACCATTGATGCTGAGGTCATGAACTCCCTGGCAGTTACAATGGATGACTTCCGGGTAAGGACTGCACTGCCGTCTCAGGTTCACACGTGTGCACTTTCATGCCTTCTCTAACAAATTTCATTTCCAATTTTGCTTCTCTTTTTTTAGTGGGCCTTGAGCCAGAGCAACCCATCAGCATTGCGGGAGACTGTGGTGGAGGTGCCACAGGTAACCTGGGAGGACATTGGAGGCCTGGAGGATGTGAAACGTGAGCTTCAGGAACTGGTCCAGGTAGGGTATCTTGGTTCAGGGTGAATCATTGCTTGAATACTTTGTAATTGAACTGGCTGGTTTTGGGGTGTTGGCATATTCATTGCAGGAATTGTGAGTATAATTAAGGAATCTGCTATTCTCAAGTCTGAGGCACTAAAGGAGCCTGCTAGGGAAACAGGTTCTTTAACCAGGCGATGGTAGAGGTAAGCTTCTGTTTGGTTAGGTTTCTTTCAAACTGCGGAGGTATCCCTGAACACTCTTTCTTTTTCCTTTTAGTATCCTGTGGAGCACCCAGACAAATTCCTCAAGTTTGGCATGACACCTTCCAAGGGAGTACTGTTCTATGGACCTCCTGGCTGTGGGAAAACCTTACTGGCCAAAGCCATTGCTAATGAATGCCAGGCTAACTTCATCTCCATCAAGGGTCCTGAGCTGCTCACCATGTGGTTTGGGGAGTCTGAGGCCAATGTCAGAGAAATCTTTGACAAGGTGAGCTACAAGCAGTTGGGCTATTTTATTCTCTTGCTTGATGGAAGTAGAGGCTGTTTTCTTTGGAAGAGTTAAAAACATCTCATTCTGGCAGCTCAGTTGGAACAATGAAGGTCTCTATTTTCCTTCTCAGGTCTGAGACCAGTGTACTAATGCTTGAGTCCATCTGTCCCTCCCATAGGCCCGCCAAGCTGCCCCCTGTGTACTATTCTTTGATGAGCTGGATTCAATTGCCAAGGCCCGTGGTGGTAACATTGGAGATGGTGGTGGAGCTGCTGACCGAGTTATTAACCAGATCCTGACAGAAATGGATGGTATGTCCACAAAAAAGAACGTTTTTATCATTGGTGCGACCAACCGGCCTGACATCATTGATCCTGCCATTCTGCGTCCTGGCCGCCTTGATCAACTCATCTATATCCCGCTGCCCGATGAGAAGTCCCGTGTTGCCATCCTGAAGGCCAACCTGCGCAAGTCTCCAGTTGCCAAGGCAAGTGCAAGATCATGGGCCATGGGGACATCTCTGAGTCCTCAGGCTAGTGTGGGGTGCGGTTTGGTTTCCAGACAAGATTTCATTGGGATTTCTAGGATTAGGGTTGTAAAGGGAAGATGGAAGATTTGAGGGTGTTAGGGGAATCTAGAATTGGGAATAAACAGTGGTGAAAGATGGGACAGATTGGAATTGGGAGTGCTGGAATGGCTCAAAGATTGTGTTTGTGTATCATGGGAGGAGAGACTAAATGCTAAGATACTCTACTTTTAGGATGTGGATTTGGAGTTCCTGGCTAAGATGACTAATGGCTTCTCTGGAGCTGACCTGACAGAGATATGTCAACGTGCCTGTAAACTGGCCATTCGTGAATCCATCGAGAGTGAGATAAGGCGAGACCGTGAGAGACAGACCAATCCATCAGCCATGGTGAGTTTGTATTCTTTCCCCAGATGTGCCAGTCATGCGGGATAATCCTCACCATGCCCTAGAACAGCGGTTGCCAACCACTCGGACCTCACAGGCCACTAATTGGTGACCGCTGCTCCAAAGGTTTCCTTAAACCAGCGGTCGCCAGCCTTTCAGACCACCGGTTGCGACCACTGCCCTAAAAAAGAAGAAGAAAGAAAAGAGAGTAGCTGAGGGTTAACTTCAATCTGGAATTATAAATGGATGGATAGATGGACACTTTCTCTACCTTTTGGAGGGGGTCTGTGACATCTCTCATGTCTCCCATAAAAACTTAAAAACTACTGAGAAACTAATCCGAGAGGAAGGGAGAGGGAGAAATAGAAACATCAATGATGAGAGAGAATCAATGATTAGCTGCCTCCTGCACGCCCCGTACTGGGATTGAGCCTGCTGAGCTTATGCCCTTTACCAGAATCAAACCCGGGACCTTTTAGTCCACAGGCTGACCTTTATTTACTGAGCCAAACCTGCTAGGGCAGGGAGCAGTCTTATAACTCACAGCAATTGAGTGGCTTCTCAGTGGAAAAGATAGGATTTGAGCTGGATTTTTGAGGGAGAGTACAATTTGAAAAAAGAAATAAGCCCAAATAATTGCTGCTAAGTAGGATTACAAAACTTGGGAAAACCTGGGTAATTTTAAGAGGGTATATGTTACTGAAAGTGAGGCCACTAGGTAAGGTGTAATTCAGATGTGGTAAACACTGAGAGGCCTTGATATTTGTCTTATCTGTTAATCCTCACCCAAGAATATTTTTTCCATTGATTTTAGAGAGTGGAAAGGAGGGGGAGAGACAGAGAAAGTGAAACATTGATGTGAGAGAGAGAGACATCAATTGGTTGCCTCCTGCACCCGCCCTCACTGGGGCCGTGGATCCAGTCTGCAACTGAGGTGTGAGCCTTTGACTGGAACCCTTCATTCTGCTGGCTGACACTTTAACCACTGATCCAAACTAGCTATATTTTCTTTCTAAAACTTGGACTTACTGAGGCATAATCCTCATATAGTAAACATCTGTTTACATACTTTTTTTTTTTTTAAATATATTTTTATTGATTTCAGAGAGGAAAGGACAGGGTGAGAGACAGAGAAGCTTCAATATGAGAAAGGATCATTGATTGGCTGTTTACATACTTTTGACAAATGTGTATAAGTGCTGTAGCTATTACTACAGTAGAGATAGAAATTTCTGTCATCCCAAATACTTCCTTTGGACCATTTTAGTCAGTTACTCTTTTTAATAATTTATTTTTGGGGTGTGGTTAATCCTCACTTGAGGATATTTTTTCCATTCATTTTTAGGGAGGGAGGGAGAGGGAAGAGACACACACACGTATTGGGATTGAGCCTGCAAACCAGGTACCTGTCTTTTACTGGATAGCAAACCTGTGACCTTTTGGTCCGCAGGTCAATGCTCTCACCACTGACCCACACCAGCCAGGGCAACCAGTTTCTTTTTTTTACTATCCTAAGTCCCTGGCAGCCACTGATGTGATTTCTGTCCCTCTAGCTTTGCCTTTTTCAGAATGCACCGACAGGTTTTTAAGCAGAGCAGTGATTCAGTTGTATTAAGATTGTCTTGGTGACTTGCTTAAGTTGAATTGGAGAGGCAGGAAGACTGATAGGTTACTGTGGTAATAAGGGGCAAGAAGCCCAGGGAAGGGATCCAGGCTGAGTCAACTATCCCTGGCGGTCTGTGTTTACCAACCCTACAGGAGGTAGAAGAAGATGATCCAGTGCCTGAGATACGCCGAGATCACTTTGAGGAGGCCATGCGCTTTGCCCGCCGTTCTGTCAGTGACAATGATATTCGAAAATACGAGATGTTTGCTCAGACCCTTCAGCAGAGTCGGGGCTTTGGCAGTTTCAGGTAGGCGACAGTGGGCAGTGCTTAAATTGCCTTGTGGAACTACACAATCAATTTTGTGGGAGTCTTAAGGAGGCTAGAGGGGTAGTTGTGAAAATCCTATATAGGCACTGTCCTAACCCCTATCTTTAAAAAAAAATTATTTGTTTTGTTTTGGTTTTGTGCACAGATTCCCTTCAGGAAACCAGGGTGGAGCTGGCCCCAGTCAGGGCAGTGGAGGCGGCACAGGTGGCAGTGTGTACACAGAAGACAATGATGATGACCTCTACGGCTAAGTGACGGTGGCCACTGTGCTGGCCTGGCTGGACCTTGTTCCCTGAGGGTGGGGGCGCTTGCCCAGGAGGGACCAGGGGTGCGCCTGCGGCCTGTTCCATTCCTCAGTCTGAACAGTTTAGCTACAGTCAGACTCTGGACAGGGGTTTCTGTTGAAAAAAAAAACCACAAAACAAAAGCGATAAAATAAAAGCGATTTTCATTTGGGAGGCAGAGTGAATTACCAACAGAGAATTGGGCCTTGGGCCTGCATCATTTCTCTTGTAATTTGGGGCTGTGCAGGGATCCTGTGTGGGTGTGAACCAAGGCATTACTCCCCACAGTAAAGCAACTGCACTTCACTCAGTGCTTCTTGAGCCCTCCCTTCTTCCCCTACCCAACCTGGGCAGGAGGATGAAGGGCCACAGTTGCTGGGTGTTTATATAGAGAGTAGGTTGATTTTATTTTACATGCTTTTGAGTTAATGTTGGAAAACTAATCACAAGCAGTTTCTAAACCAAAAATGACATGTTGTAAAAGGATAATAAACGTTGGATCAAAATGGAGCCTGAGTCCTGGCCCCGTGCCTGTTTCTTTTCCTGGGGAGGGCCTCGGGCTGCCCTCACGGCCGAGGCATTCTTCCTCCACTGTAAAATCCATAGAGCTGCTCTCTTCCCCTCCCCTTTAACACCAGTGTGATACTGCCACCCAGCCCAGTGTCCTCAGCACCACTGATAGGACCGTGGTAGATGGAGGATAGCCTGATGGATATCAGATATGGGCAGTGTGGCACCCTTTTCCTACATTTGAGGTGGATGGTAAGGCTAGGTCTGCAGAGTCCCCTTTCCTCACCAAAGACTGGATTGGGGTTCCCTCCAAAAACCTTAAGATTACAAAAAGAATCTCTGTCTCAAGGTGGATATTCTTTTGGTGCATCAAAAAATCCCAAGCATTCATGCTCTGGTTGAGGATCACTTACAATTGTATCCACCTTTATTTTATGTAACTTGTATTATAAAAAAAAAAAAAAAAAAAATAGCTTTTTCTAAGACAAAATAATAGTATTGGGTGTGTTTTTTCCTAAATTAAACATCCTTCCCTGCTCTGTTTTTCAGATTGCTTGAATAGTTTTATCCAGGTAGAGTGTGCTCTTCTTCAGCAGTTACCATCATAAATCATTTAGTGCTTCTAGGGTCAGTACCATAATGCCTTACCCAAAAAAGATTATGGTGCAGAGAAAATTATTCACAGTCAAATTTGTGTTGATTGTCCTAGTACTTATACCAGGCTCTCATCTGGTCTAAACAGAAAATCTTCAACATAATAACAGTCTGCCTTACCCCTAGGTTGACAGCCTATCTTTAGGGCTCAAGACAGGGAAAGATTATAAGTACCTCTGCATAAAGCTATGGGAGCATAACAGAAGGCAAGTGATATTTTCTTACAAAATATGTAGAGATAGAAATTTGTTGAAACGATTGTTTTCATTTGTCACACAGTGTGTCTATATGGAATATAGTTGGAACTCTATAGATTTTTTTTTTAAATAAATCTTTATTGTTAGATTCTTATTTTTAAATATGTTTTTATTGATTTCAGAGAGGGAGGGAAAGAAACATCAATGATGAAAGTGAATCATTGATTAGCTGCCTCCTACATGCCCCATACTGGAGATCGAGCCCTCAACCGGGCATGTATCCTGACCAGAATTGAATCTTTATCTAGTTCATTAGCTAATGCTCAACCACTGAGCTATGCCATCTGGGCTCTAGATACTTCAGGGAAAATCAAGATCAGACCTGTTTCTAGTGCTGGTACTTGAGCTTATAGCAGTGTAGCTTTCTGATACAATGATTGACTGCTTTGTAAACTGTTAAGCAACAGTGAGGAGCCGAGACTGGTTTGGCTCAGTGGATAGAGCATTGGCCTGTGGACTGAAGGGTCCCAGGTTTGATTTCGGTCAAGGGCATGTCCCTTGGTTGCGGGCACATCCCCAGTGAGGGGTGTGCAGGAGGCAGCTGATCGGTGACTCTCATTGGTATTTCTAACTCTATCCCCCTCTCTTCCTCTCTAAAAAATCAACAAAATATATTTTTTTTTAAAAAACAGAAGTGAGGGACTATTTGTCACCTTTCATCTGCAGAAGCCTGCATACATAAACCAAGAGGTAATTTGTATCAGCAGTCTGTCTTTTTCCCTGCAGTGTTCCCAGAAAGAAATTGGAATATAATCTTAACTAATCATTTCTTCCCATAGGGTAAGTGCTATGATTAAAAGATGGGTCTTTGACTAAGAATATGGCATCAAATAGATCACAGAGGACCAACAGTATGCCATAGATGAAACTATAAGTATAACATCTTGAGATATATTTGGATCCAAGATATTGATCCTACAAATTGCTGTGAGTCTAGTGGTTACACGATACCCATCAGGAATACTCTCCTGTCAGTCATTAATTTGGTCTGCCAATTATTCTTGTGAAGTATGGCAAACATTAAATGTTTTGTTACTCTTGCCCAACCTACCGAGTCCTTAAAAAGACAAGAATGTAGGACTTGGATTTTTCATAAAGCTATCTAGAGATGCATAGAGTCATTAAACATCCCTGTGTCAAGTAAAAACTCAGAATTGCATTGTCTTTGTGACTCTGGAATGGGGGGCGGGGGGGGGGGGGGAGGTTGGCGGCGGCAATAGGTGGGGAAAAAGAAAGGACTTTCAGTTCCACCCTTAGCCAGCAGGTGGTGAGTTTTGGACTCAGGCCCTCACGTTTGGGTTATAAATAAAGCTTTGGAATAGAATAGTGACAGTGAGAGGAGACAGAGGAATAATATGTACCTTCTGACTGGCTGTTTTTCTGAACCAAATATACAGAGTAAAGGGAATATTGTAGAATGGAAAGAATGCAGGTTTGGGAATGTGGACTTGATTATAGAATCTCTTTGAATGGCTTCATTGCCATACTATCAGGAAGCAAGTGCTATCAACAAGGTACACATTGTTATGTGGCTGCAAGAAGGGGTAACCAAACCAAGATAGGAAAGTTAGTCTGAACTGGGCATTAAATAAAGGAAGGTGGGAGACTTGACATGGAGCAATGCAGGAGAGCAATTAGCAAGAGGGTAGAGAATACAGAAGAAACAGGTTGGCTAGCAAGGGAGTGAATTTGAAGGGGTCAGAAATCACATGAAGACTCATGCAAGGAATGAACTTTAGTCCAAAGATATCTGGGGGGTTTAGACAGGGAAGTGAGATTTCAGTGCTAAGAGGATTTTTTTTTCTTGTGGCAAAAAAACAAAATTGACCTTACAATTAACCATGTCTATAGCATAGACAATTCACTTTCAAAATAACCTATTTTTTATAGAAGCAGTAATGTGCATTGTAGAAATTTAGAAAAATATAAGGATGTTTTTAAAAATGAATATTCCCAATAATCAGAGACCACCATCTTTAGTTGCTATTTTTCAGTCTTTTCTGTGCACTTGTGTAAATGTGTATGTCTATACATGTGGTGTTTTAAAATCAAAATGAGATCATCCTGCTTTATATCTTTATTTTAAACAATCACCTTTTCCTTTTATATAATTTTTTTAATGTTATTGATTTTAGAGAGGGAGAGAGAGAAACATCAATGATGAGAGAATTATTGATTGGCTGCCTCCTGCACATCCCACACTGAGAATCGAGCCTGCAACCTGAGCATGTGCCCTGACCTGAAATCAAATCATGACCTGATTTGATTTATAGGTTGACTCAACCACTGAACCACAGTGGCCAGGCAAGAAATTCTATATATTTTTAATTATACTGGTAAAATTGGACATCTTTTTTGTGGGAGGTAGGTGGGAGAGTTAAATTTTTGCCTACCATACTCAAAAATTAGGTTAACCTAACATCCTATATAATAAAATCCTAATATGCAAATTGTTCACCTGGGAGTTTGACCTCTTTGACATGTGCTGACCATCAGGGTTGGTGTGGAACATGACGCGTGTTGGCAGCAGAGCACCAGCAGTGGGCAACAGAGGAAGTGTTGCTGGCCACAGTGGGCCCCGACGAGAGCAGGACCATGGCAGGATGGTGGAGCAGGTGAGGGAGATGACGAGGTGTCAGGCAGAGGGCACAAGTTGGGGCTGCAAGCTGGGACCTGGTCCCCATAGGCCACCCCACCTGTGCATGAATTCGTGCATCAGGCCTCTAGTCCTATATAATAAAAGACTAATGTGCAAATTGTCCCCTTGGGAGTTAGACTGCTTGTTATGACGTGGTGACCACCAGGGGATGGTGAGGAATGAATGTGGGCACAGTCGGCAGCTGGGGGAAGGAAGGCCCCAATCTGCCTTGATTGCCAGCCAGGCCTAGGGACCCTACCTGAACATGAATTTCATGTACTGGTCCTCTATACTATCTATACTGATAAAAAGGTAACATGCAAATGGTCGGGGCACCCTCGTGTAATGACTGATCAGCTGGAGGCTGTGTGCACATCAGGCGCTGGTGGGTGGGGACTTGGTGGGCAGGGACTTGCAGCATCAGGAACGGGCGGGGCTGCATCTGGGGCCTCCACGCACCTGTGCCAGGGGTCCTGAGGCATGCAGAGGTCACAGGCCACCACCACAGCCCAGCTTACCTCTTTGGGACAATCCATTGAGAAGTCCCAAATGAGTGGGCAGGGCCTACCTCTTTGGAGCAATGGATCATGGGGCTCCTGCACTGACAGAACACAGGCCAGGCTAGGACACACACACCCCTCCCCAAGTGCATGAATTTCATGTACCGGACCACTAGTTGATATATAAAAGTACCAGAAAAAAATATTTTACTGAAGGGAAGCCACTGAAGGGAAATGTTGGTAGATATGATTATATAAAAATTTTGAACTTTGGTAGAGTAAAAAATCACCTTAAAATTAGAAAATAAGCCACAGATTGGGAAAAAATAACTGTGATATGCATAATAGGTTGTGGTAGGCAGGATAATGGCTTTCCTAAGGTGTCCAATGTCCTAATCCCTGCAACCT